TCTTTTGATTGTTTTGTTTGTCAAACTCTAGAATCTAGGTTAGACATCATAAGTACTATAAAATTTTCTATCTTCTTCTTCTATCCTAGAAGGATCAGCACTGACTCATGGTCCTTCTAGTAGATAGAAATTTTACTTGTCTAATATTTTAATCCTAAATATTTTAAATAAAAACATCTTTAACTGTACTAATAAACGATCGTTGGTTTCTTTTCAGCTGTGGCATATAAATTGAGTAAAAGTTAAAACCCAATTTTATTGTTCAAATGATCTTTTGAGAAGTATTACATTATTAGTCGCTCTTTTTAAACCTTCATACAATGTGTTTTCATATCTGTACGTAAGATTTAAAAGGAAACATTGTGTGGAATTATATTTGTTAGATTATCAACGTTGTTTTATTTACCTTACTTACACCATGGGGTCTTATCATGAACAAAGAAAAATGAGTTCAAATAAATGTCAATAGATGACGTTACATGTATCGATTTGTTATTAAAGTTGTGTTTAATTAACAAAAGATAAAAAATTGATCCCCTAATTATTGTCAAATTTGTGTAATTTTATTGTTTATTGAAATATCAGCAATCAGATGATGGGTTTGTAGTATATATTCACAGATGGCGCTTTTACTTTTTATGAATTGTTTATCACGGTTAAAAATAGTTAAAATCACTGATATCTTTTTATCCAGGATGAATTTAAAAATATTTAGAAGAACGTAGTTTGCACATATTTATAAAATAAAACAGTTACTATTTGTGAATCAACGACATCTATTATCTATTTAAGCAAACAAAAATAGCCCGAAGTAGTGCTGTCCAATTTTTCTGTATGGTATTAGGTATTTGTACTAGTAGTATAATATTATGTGATCTGTGCTTACACGTGTCTTTCTAGCATCTACACATTAGATAATCACTTGTAGATCTTAGTAGAAATATTGCCAAATGCAAGGATTATAATTCATTCAATCATGAAACTTATAATTATATGCCTCAAGTTTTATCTTTTGTTTAGTAGGTGTGATTGAATAACAAAGTTATTAGAATAATAATATAAGTCGATACCTACTCGTAGTAAGTATTCAAATTAATATGACTTTGCAAATTGTTTAGTTTTTCCCGTTAACTTGAGTCATTGTTTAACCATAAATGTGAACTTAATTTCTTATTAGAACATAACCAAACTGAACCAAGTTTTAGATCATAACTCGATTATTGTAAAGTGTTTCTATAATTTTAAATACTAGTTTGCTTGGTGGTTGAAATTTGAACATATTTTTTTATTGATTTTATACTTACTAAACCTAGTTAATAGCTGCTACACATAACAAAAAAAATATTATAACAAACGAAGGAGAAAAAGGTACTGAACTGTTGTGTCGTTGCTTATCTTAATATAATTAATTCTTCTGTACGTGTGTTTGTTACCTTACTTCTAAAACGCTGGACCGATTTGGATGCAATTTTGTGTCTATATTTCAATAGACAATTGAAATATAGACAAAGTTTGAATTCACAAATGGATCTGGTAGGTGGCGCTGCAGTCGGTGTCTCACGAAATTTTCATATAAGACTTCATTTTCCGAGCAATAAATAAATTTAAATTGTTGATTAAATATGTTTCCTATGGACCACAAAACAGCTGGATTTTGATGAAATTTTCAGGTAATCTTCAGATTAGCCCAGCGGTTGATCCTGTGAATTTTGTTAGCGATCGGAAGTTTGGACGCGGGCGAAGCCGCGGGTACTGCTAGTTTATATATGTATAGATACCTTATATATAACAATTTCATAAACAGCCACAGTTTATTTAATTTTTTCACTTCTTTAAAAACAACTAAAAAATAAACTACTACCAAAACCAAACAAAAATAGTTATAATTATGCACCTACTATCTCTTCTAATGAATATAATAAAATTCTGAGTCGAATTTGTACATTAATTTTTTTTTAAAATCTTATTGAAATAGTAATTATTATCGATACAGAGGCCGAATAAATAGTTTTTAGAATGTTTGTCTATCTGTCTATCTGTAATCGCATCACGAAAAAACTACTGGACAGATTTTGATGGTATGATGATAGCTTATATTATAGGTTATCCGGGTCAACATATAGGATACTTTTTACTGCGGGAAAATATCTCATCATTGAGCTAAACGTTGATATAAACTATACCTTCAAGACATGTAACACCTCAGTCTCTCCCGTGACCATGGATGCTGTAAAGCATTCGAAACGTCGGAAACCAAATATCAAAATAAATTTGCGAAAAAATCCGAAAAGATAGTTTTATTTAAAATGTCAAGTATTCGCGTAAATCTAAGAAAGTATTACGTTAAAATAAAGTTATGAATATAAATAATATATAAGTAATGTATATAAAGAAGGGATTTAAGTCGTATTTGGAAACTAGTGATGGTCAAGTTGACATTTTAAAATTAATATTGATTTATCATTTAACGATTTGTGCATTATCATCTTTCGTGGGCAAGTTTTAATAGGTTGCTACTAAAACCATTAGTTTTATTCCATTTGGCCAAATTGAACCTAGATTTTGAATTATAGGACATGCGAATGAAGCCACAGACATTAGCTTGTATAGGAATACCTATTACAAATTAAAAAAGACAATATGTAACTTAGTATAATAAATATGATAAAGTAAACTAACAGAATCCGTGGCTTCGCTGTCGAAAAAACTTTAAAATGATTAGTTTCATACAAATTTTCAGCCCCTATTTTACCCCCTTAAGGGATGAATTTCGAAAAATACTAAAACACGTATTCATTTAATTGTATTGAAGAGCATTAATACCAAGTTTCAGTAATTCTGATCATAAATATTTTTTGGGTTGTATTATAACGGCTTTTCCCGTGAGAATGAGATATTGTCCCGCGGTAAGAAGTAAGTAGCCTATGTCACTCTCTAGCCAAATTACGCCAATCCTTTACTCTGTTTCGAAGTCAAAGAAGAACAAACAAACAAACACACTTTCACATTTATAATGTTACCTAGTATGGATCTACATGTTTTATTCTTAGGATATTGAAATAAATACGGTAGTACCTACTTTTGCTAGTTATCGAGTGTAATTGTAATGATGACACCAAGCCCCAAGGTTATCAAAATATTGCATACACTTGAACTTAATTTAGACTAACTTTATGCTACTGAGGATGAAAGTATAAGTAATATTTTATTTCTATGAACCTATATTGTTATATAATCTATACTAATATTATAATTGCCTCGGTGGTGTAGTGGCTAGCATGTACGGCTGCACACCGGAGGTCCTGGGTTCGAGTCCGGGTCGGGCCAAGTAAGCCCCAGTAACAGCCTGGAGTTGGAAGTTGGGGGTGTTTCAGCCCCGTGCCTCGGAGAGCACATAAAGCCGTCGGTTCTGCGCCTTAACTCACTGGTCGTGTCGAGTGGTCGTCCCACCGGAGTATGAGAGTGACAGGAATAGAGAGTGCACGTTGTGTCTGCGCGTACACTTGTGCACTATAATATCTCCTGCGCAGTTGGCTAGTCTCAATGAGATTGGCCGCCGTGGCCGGAATCGGTGAGGAGAACATCACTAATATTTATAAAGAGGCAGAGTTTGTTTGTTTGAACGCGGTAATCTCAGGAACTACTAATGCGATTTGAAAAGATTTTTTGCACTAGATAGCCATAGGTTATATATCATAATATAATATATAGTCTATCTATCCCATACTAAACGTTAAAACGTACCTACGGGACGAACCCGACTGAAGCGAGGGTGAGTCGCTAGTTAATTTATAAACAGAGACCATCATTTATGATTTAAATTTATAATATACTTAGAACCAATTTTGGTGAAGATTTAAATTTAATAAATAAAATATGTCTGATATTTTTGTAAGATGTCTGTGTTAATATTTTTGTAACAGAAGGTTAAGCCCCCATAAGCTTTTTGTTTACCTTTAAGGCTTTAGTTAACTTCTTAAACCTATGCAGTATAGAGTGTTTCGCAGGTCTCATTTCTGGCTCATAAATCATAACACTGTAGAATGAGGTCTTAGATTCGAGGTCAGGAAAAAAAATGACTTATGGCCGATTTCACCAACGTCACCTAAGTTTAAGGGATCCCCTAAGCATGGTTAGGGGGCTGTTAGGGGACAGCTTCTGTTTCACCGACAGTTAGGTGTCACCTAAATGTTAAAATGCGACCTAAATATAGGTACTAGATATACGGGCCCTGACGATGGTAAAACAAAATTTAATTTAGGGGCTAGTTTATGGGACTTTTAAGCTAGGGATCCCATAGGTAGGTGGTAGATTATGGGTTGTTGGTGAAATCGGGCATTAGTCTCTTAGAATAAATTCGTAGCTGTAGGTCTTATAATTCATTAACGTTAAGATAATAAATATGAAACTATTTTATTCTTTTTTAATGTTGTTAATTATTATAATGAAACGAACGTACGGGGAATAACCGTTCAAAAAAATACCTCGAACCAGTTATTTCTGACCTCTTTCAATTAAAGCTGATGAGTAGGTAATACTAAGGCTGATAGGTATATTTGTAGTTTAGAGAAGTATTATAATATAATACTTGTATATTATAATATATATTTTTATATTTTTTACTTATTAAATATTTAAACTTCATTTCATTTTTAATATTTTGAGGATAAATTTTCAAAAATATATCTTTCTTTAGTAGACTCTTAATTAAAATACTTTACATATAGATATATATCTCCTAAATTTTGAGGCGGATTAAATATTTTATCAATACAAAGAAAAATTGCAAATAACGAACGGGGCATAGGGAAAAAGTATCTAAATTGATATCATGTTTAATTCAAAGGAACCATTTTATGATTTTCACAAAGACCCCTCAGACCTAAGACTTCGGTGACATATTATAAGTTTCCAAGTATAAGGCATGACTGTAATATACTTGTTATTATAGCTACATGTGAAGATGCCTTTACATGTGAATCATATATTTTAGTAAGAAGATGGCCGTCTGTAGTGTAAGACGTGTCGTAGTGCTATATATAGTTTATTTACAAGTAATTTTAATATGTGGACAACAGTATAGAATACACGATGTTACTATACAGGCTTTAGGGCCAAAAGGGATACGAGTGTCAATGCCCGGTGAGTGGTTAAAACTAACTTCACACTTGTGCAAAATGAATTATCCGAGCATATATTTGCTTATTTGATTAGATAAATATGTATTGTTATTAATTTATTTATATGAAATAAAAGTGATTATTTGCCCGCGGTTTCGGGGTGTTTGTTTACGCGAGGGTCGTGACTCGTGGCATGATGTTAGATCATTGGGATATTGTATTTTGTGTAGGTAACCTTTATCCATTCCGACTGGTCGTTCCATCACACTCATACGTTCAAACAATTTATAGGAAATAACTCTGAAGCTATAAATAATAATATACTAGAACCTCGCCCTCGCTTCGCTCGGGTTCGCCTCTAGTAAAACACAACCAATCTCTCCCGCGGGAACCGTACATTTTTCCGGGATAAAAAGTAGCCTATGTATTATTCCAGACTATAATCTATCTCTGTTACAAATTTCATCCAGATCGGTTCAGCGGTTCTGGCGTGAAAGAGTAACAAACATCCATACTCACAAACCTTCACACTTATAATATTTAATACAGATTTATTAAAAATATATATAAATTGATTCTAAATTGCCGCAGATATTTCGTAGAATACATAAAAACATTTTATTGAGTTCCTCCTTGGAGTCGGTTAAATAAGTTCATTGTACTTCCAACAGCTTTTGCAGATTTACATTATATATATATATATATATATATATATATATATATATATATATATATATATATTATCTAAATAATATGTATGAAATAAATTGGAATCCAATAAATTTTAAGATTTTTAATTAAAAAAAATCGCTATTTATCCCACGTAGCATTTATTCTACCATGATAATTTTAATCTTTGTTTCTTAAGGGATGATTTCCGGGATAAAAACTATACTAAGTCCTTCTCAGGGTTTCAAACTATCTTCATACCAAATTTTATTTAAATCGGTTCAGCGGATTTTTGTTTATCCATTACAAGCAAAGTCATAAATTTTAACTCTTTATAATAATTACTAGCAGAACCCACGGGTTCGCTCGCGCTAAAACAACAGAAAAAAAACTCTAAAAAGCAGGGTTCATACCCTATTTTACCCCCTTATGGGATGAATTTCGAAATATGCTAAAAACACAATTTGATTGTATTGAAGAGCATTAATACTAAGTTTCAAGTAATTCTGATCATACATATTTTTTTGGTTTGAATTTAACGTCTTTTCCCTTGAGAATTAGATAATTTTCCGCGGTAAAATGTAGCCTATGTCACTCTCAAGCCTTCCAACTGCGCCTGCACACGAAAAATCTACTGTTTCGACGTGAAAGAAGGACAGACATACAAACAAACAAACGAACAAACACACTTTCACATCTATAATATTAGTATGGAAGTATGTACCTATCCAGTGATGTGTATTACCATTATATTTCAGCTGAGCCGAAGCAAACTTTGTTTGTTTTTCAAGGAAATTTAAACCAGAAGATAAATCAAAATGATGTAGGTCGGATATCTGCTGAACTTATAAATCCTGTAAACAACAGATGGGTTTACGAAGATCTCAACGTAGCGCTGAAAGTTGGCGATATTATATACTACTATGTGACTGTAGTTTACGATGGCAAGGGGTATATTCTGGATAACCAAAGTTTTACTGTTAACGGTACGTATTATGTCTAAGAACTCTACTTAAAACCAATTCTTAAAATGTAATTAAGGGGCTAAGAGAAGAAGCCTTTTCGCTCAAAACCATCTCTATAAAATAACAGTAATTTTATATCAATACTAGCAACTCACCCTCGCTCCGTTAGGTTTCGTCCCTAGGAACGTTTTAACGCTTAGTATATAACTCAGAAATGGGACATTTTCCCGCAGTAGAAAGTATCCTATATGTTGACCCGGATAGCCAGTTATCATCATAACAAATTTCATCAAAATCTGTCCAGTGGTTTTCTCGTGATGCGTTCCCAGACAACTCCCAGACAGACGGACGGACAGACAGACAAAAGTCCTAAATTAGAAACTTTCGCTCTCTGTATCAATTATAATGATTATTTCAATAAGATTTTTTTTAGTGTACAGATTCGACTCAGTTATGATATTATTATATGTATAGATAATTTTTAAAATTTCTATTCTTCAACGATTGTAGAATGACACCTTGATCCAGGATAGTATGAAGTAAAATGTCCCTTTTAAGACATAAAAAAGCGTTAAGCATAAAAAATCAAGAGAAATACAAGTGATGCGTTATTTTTCTGTTATTTGAAGCGACGAGTATTATAGGTATAGCATGCTATATTCCAACTAAACAAAAACATTTCAAGTCTTGCACTAATATTTGTTTCCATTGGGAATCAAAGTAAAAAATCCAACTATGGAAAATAAAATAATATTTACAGTCGCAGTATTTAAACAAAAAAGCGTGTAACTGAAAACATTGCCTTTTATGATAACATTTTTAGATTTTTCTTAGAATATTCAGGACAGCCAGGCTGTGAGCAAAATGACTCTAAAATTCAGACGAACAAATAGACTCGATAGATTTTTTTGCCATTTATACGAAACCTTAAAAATAATTAATGAAATTATATACTATTCTCTATTAAAATAAGTTAGCAACGGTGGTCTTATCTCTAGACGAGATCTCTTCCAGTCAACCTAAGTGAGATAGGGAGATAATATATATTTTTTAATACTATTCAGAATTAGTGCTTGACTACGTTCCACCTGATGGTAAGTGGTAACGCAGTCGTAGATGGTAAGTCGCACTAATTCAGTAGCCACCTATTCACTCTTGCCTTGAAGACACCCATATTATAATCGGACGGAAACACCGACGCAGGCAGGTTGTTCCAATCCTTAGCCGTACGTATAATAAATGACGTAGCGAAACGCTTCGTGCGGACGGGTGGAATGTCCACGACATAAGGATGGAGACCAGCCGTTCGTCGAGTTGTCCGATGATGGAAAGGGGATGGGGGAATTAATTCATGTAGTTCCTGCGCACACTCTCCGAAATGTAACCTATAGAATACACAAAGGCTGGCAACCCTACGTCGGTGATCGAGGCTTTGTAAGTTAGCTTTTACCAGCGTAGTGTCACCTATGAGCCATAATATAGCTATAATATTAAAAAGCAGGCTAAGCTGCAGTTACTCAAATATAAATACTTAAATAAATAAATAAAAAATATAGCACTACTTTAGGCAGCTTTTCCTGCTAAAAAGAACCTATTTTCTTATTTTTCAACGTTCTTGAATTAAAGTATTAAAGTTGCACCACACTCAAGGGAATGCATTACTGGGATAACAAATATCTTATATCCTATATATTAATATATCTATAGGTTAAACATGATTGAACCAAAAACATACAAATCTCATCACAAACTAGTACATTTATAATATTAATACGATCTATGTATATATAGAGTTGGAGGGTCCTACAAATTCAAAGGGAGACTGCTTGCCTACTTTGACGGATATTAGGAATGGCAAAGCTTGTGCCGGTCAAGTTATATTCGAAGATAACTTTGACGATCTTCGTGAAGATTTATGGCAAATAGAGCAATACATACCGGATGAACCTGTAAGTCATTTAAACAGTTATAAATAATAAATAAATATGTTGGGATTAACACACAGCATCATCTAGTACCATGGTAAGCTACGAGGCTTGTGTAATGAATACCAGATAGTTGATACAGTACACGTATATAACTTTAAATACATATATATTATAATATAAACGCCCACGACTTTAGTACAATTTAGTAAAACATTCGTGCTCATGACATAAATTAATACCCCTAGCGGGACTCGAACCCGCGACCGCTGGCACGGCAAGTAGGGTCAATAAGCAACAGCAAGTAGTGCCCCACTACAAACTGAGTCAAACGTCGACAAGTCGTCGTCCGTTAGATATGTATTTAAATAAAAATATTAATTCGTTAAATTTATACTTTATACCTATTGACCAGTGTGTAGTTCAGTGGTAACGCTCCCTTAAAAAACCAAGTAATACGAGTTCAAACTTCGATTCTCTAAGAATTTCATTTCCAACATGATAACCACTTGGTAATACCATTAAGGAAACATCGTCTCAGAGAATCTATCTATACACCTATAGTTCTAAGTTCTTGTAAGACGAAATTTGACCAACGTGTTGTATTATGTCCTGATCTTGCATTGAGGAGAGGCCTGTCTCGAGCAGTGGGGCGTTGAGAAAAGCTGAACAGTTATTATTTTTATGCACATATATTCATTTTTAAAACTTATTCTTTACCTAAGTGGTTAATAAACTTTATTAAAAATGTTAAATAATTTCAGGATTATCCATTCGTCTCATATCAACGTCCACCCAACGCGGCAGTAGTGTCTGCGTCTGCCGGCTATCTGTATATTGCTCCACAGCTATTGCAAAATCTTCAGGGATTCTCTAACTCATCTATTTATACAGGAACATTGGATCTCTCTAGTGGGTAAGTCTTTTTAAAGTGAGGGTATCTTTAATAAAAACCGACTTCAAACAAAAGCACTAAAAAGTAAAAAATAACTGATTGGTAGTTTTCATTTACTATACATACCTAATCAAATATTTTCGAAGTCGGTGTGCTTTGCTTTGTATGGGCTGGCACCGATTTCGAAAATATTTGATTAGGTATGTATTTAATAGGTTGGCTTTAATTACTTAGCCAAAGCACACCGACTTCGAAAATATTTGATTAGGTATGTATAGTAAATGAAAACTACCAATCAGTTATTTTTTACTTTTTAGTGCTTTTGTTTGAAGTCGGTTTTTATTTTTTTGTAAAAAGTTTTTATTTTTCCCTTTTTAGTGTAGACAGTAGTAGCAAAGTAAGAATTCTAACGTGTTAGGCTTGTCAAATCAAACAAAATAAACCCAAACTCAAAGTATCTACTATTAGCCGTTGAAGAGTTCCGCCTATCCACCTTCCGGCCTTACCATCAGATCAGGTCAACAATACCGAACCACTGTACCATCAACGGAAATAGAAACACTTGCAAAGTTTCAAGTCAATATGACAATTAGAAGTAGGTTAAATTCATCATTTGCTACTTTTCCACCCTTAGGGGTGGTATTTTTTTTTGAAATTTAAATGGGACCAATCTGGAAGTATACACTTTCAAACAGCACAAAAATTGTCCAAATCGGTTAATAAATGACGGAGTTCTGAGGTAACAAACATAAAAAAATACAGTCGAATTGAGAACCTCCTCCTTTTTGAAGTCGGTTGAAAAATACATACAGACTAACATAGAACCTCCTCATTTTTAGAAGTCGATTAAAATGGCTTCTCACACAACCTTAAAATGGCTTTTTATCCTCTTTGGTGGTTTATCTCAATTCCACCTTCAGAATTAACGTAATCATTCATCTCCCACAAATTGCATTTTTTTTAAAAAGTTTTTAAAAGTGAAAATTACAACAATTTTGTCCAAGAATAAATGACTAAAGATACATAAAATGTAGACCGCTTGATTTTCCGCAGAATTGCTATCAACATTGTATGAAGTAGTAATAAATAATGCAACCAAAAAGTTTTAAATGGGAAACTGGTGAATTTCACGCAAGCTCGTTTTGACGAAGTTCGTGCCGGTGATAGCTTCCTCATGGACGTGGGCTTTATTAAATAAAAACACCTATAGTAATTTTGACGACGATGTTGACTATGCTTTGTTAAATACGAGTATATATTTCTTCAAATTGATTCGTTATCAATTTTGATTATGATGTCAACATATATTAATATAGTATAATATACCCGATATTTATTGCGCTGTCTGTGCTAATAAATATATTTTATTTAAATTAAAAGAAACTAGATTTTTGAATGCCGAAACCTAGTTTTATTTTAAATGTCAAATGCTTGTGTATCCTAAACATTGACTAAAGTTAAACGTTATCATAACACTTTCTTAGATTTACGCGAATATTTGACATTTTAAATAAAACTTTCATTTAAAAAGTTATCACTACACAACAATACCTACTTTTTGCGTGAAACGCGCACACACAAACAGACAAACAGAGAATCAGACAAAAATTTTAATAACTTCTTTTGGTGTCTATATTCTGTACACAACACATTACAGTCCTTGTTTATAAAAAATATTTCATGTACAGATTTCGCTAAATTACTGCTTTATTATATGTATAGATTAATATATTTGTAATAATGTTAGTAAAAATACAATTTTCATGTTTAGTTGCACAACAATTTCGTCTAAATGTCGAGCAGAAGCTTGGGGCGCCAGTATCTTACCACCCATCATTAGTGGTAAACTTACTTCAAAGACTTTCTCTTTTAAATATGGTATCGTCGAAGTAAGAGCAAAATTACCAAAAGGAGATTGGCTTTTTCCAGGTAAGGTTTGATTAGAGAGGTCAAAGAAACATATAGAGTAATTCTTTAGACCTTTTTGACTGACTTTAAAAAAGGGGTATGTAATTAATTTTAAAAGACGTATATTGTTTTTGTGTAAGGATAACTTTCATGTTTTTTAAATGACAAATCAAAATGAAGCTGAATATAATAAATTAAAGATAGTTTTTTTTAATTTCGAATAATGACCAAGATATAGCATTTTAATTCTGACCCCAATCCATTGTAGCATAAATATAAATTTTTGGTAAATTATCAATGTGTCACTTCACTAAGCCCGCATTGTAATAAAAGGTGGTAAATGTGATAATTAGGAGTGAGAACCTACGTCGTTTGTCGAGGCAACGATTTTTTCTCACTCAATTCACACGACCTTTAAGTTTTGTAACTTTTTAGTTTTTTTTATCGTATCTGAAACAGAAAACTATCAGTGGTTTAGTTATAATTATTATTTAAATATATACAACATTATTTTACTTATCGATTTAGGAAACTTCTCCGTTATGATGCGAATTTCATTATTATATTTTTTAATATTTTTCATTTTTTTTTAATTTCTTTTTTCTTCTACTCAAAGGTATCTTAAGTGGAAATAAAGTGATTAATTTTGGAGCCATTACATCTATTTAGTAAAATCAATTGAACTCAACTGTTGCTATTACAGCTTATAATTATTTTAGAACTAAAAGATGTTATATTGACCCAAGGTTTTTTTGCTCTACAAGATAGAATTTTTTTTTTGCCATTTACTTATTTAATTATCTATATATTTAATTAGATTGTTTTTCTCAATAAGGGATATTTAACCAACAATTTGATTATATTATACATGTTAATATTAATAAATTAATTTAAAAATTTGTGAAACTAGATATTTTACTGGAGCCCTTATTGAAGAAGTATGGCATGTCGAATTATGCGTCTGGAGTTTTACGTATAGCGGGAGCGAGAGGCAATACTCGGCTGCAAATTGGGAACAACAACATAGGAAATAAGGTATACAATTTTTTTTCCTTAAGTTGATCACATACTAGCATTGCCCGCGGCTCCGCCCGCGTTCAGATGACCAAAAACCAAATTCTTAGGTTTTACATATTAGTATACTCTTACATTGCAGTTTATGTATTTTTTCTCAGAAATGAGATATTTTCCTGTGGTAAAAAGTATCCAATATGTTGACTCGGATTACCAGCTATCACCATAACAAATTTCATCAAAATCCCTCCTGTGATTTTTCTGTGATGCGGTAACAGACATAAATTCTAAAAACTATAGATTCGGCTTCTGTATCGATAATAATGTTTATTTCAATAAGATTTTGAAAAAAATATTTAATATACAGATTCGGCTTATTTACAATTTTATTATATGTATAGACCAACGACCACTCAGCCCAAGTGGTCGTTGGTACAGACTAAGTAGTTGCTTACTCTCGCTCCACATATTTGGATACATCCCTGTAAGAGAATTTCTTTAGACTTAATTTACAAACAACATCATATCAGTAGATTATTTTTGCAAAACGTTTTTAAATAATAGCATATAAGCTTCCTAAATAATCTCTCGTTCTATTGGTGAAAACTGCTTCGTTTCTGAGATTATATATATATACTCGTATATAAGTTCTAGTGGTAGCCTAGAAATATAACTACTCGTACTTATTAGATTTAAGGAATGGACTGTCAATATTTTATGAAAAGGCCTATTTAAATACATCCTTAATTCGTTTTATCAATCTGTTTATATTACATTTCAGCTTCTTTACGGTGGACCAATATTGGATTTCGAGTGCCGCAAGAATTTATTAAGTAATAAATTGTCAGATACGAACTGGGGTGACGATTATCATTTATACACAGCGCGATGGGAACCTGGTAAGAGCAAGTAACAGGAATATTTTGTGAACTGTGATTGATAAACATATATAAAATATCAATTTGTACAGTGGTTCTAGATACGTACAGGTATTCTAAAAATTATGTAAGTGCCTCTATTTCTATCCTGTGCTTAGGTCGAACTCATGACCTTAGCAGTTCTTATGTTACCTACATAATACATAATAATAATAATACCTATTAGATACTAACGACTTTCCCTCACTTCAATCGGCTGCGTCCCAGTGGCCTATGTGATATTCCAGGTCATACATAGTGTATCTGTCTATCTGTCTCAATTTCATCCAAATCCGTTCAGCCGTTTCAACGTTAAGGAGTAAGAGACATATATACACACATACATACAATTAACATTTATAATGGTAGTTAAATTATTAAGTTCTAAATTCTGACGTAATACTACAAACATTGGTCCATCCAAGCTGCGCCATAGGAGATATGGTCGAAGATGAACATTGAATATACCTACATACATATCTAAATGAATATTTGTATCGTGTTTAAATAGAACTTACGACTATAGTAGTTCTTATATGACATGAACAAATTGATACTAGTATTATAAATACGAAAGTAACTCTTACTGTATGTCTGTCTGTCTGTCTGTCTGTCTGTGTGTTACCGTTTCACGTTTAATCCGTTGAACCGATTTAAATGAAATTTGGTATGAAGATAGTTCGAGATCCTGGAAATGACATAGGATAGATTTTATCCCGCAAATGGGCGTGGAAGTTTGTGTGGAAAATTAATCATGAAAGTAAAGGTAAAGAATAAAACCCATTATACCTTATAATTTAACTGAAACTTTTCTTTTAACTACTCTGTAGAAAGAATTACGTTATCAGTGGACGGTCTAGAGTGGGCACGGATAGAGCCCGCCGCAAGTGGGTTACAAGGACGCTTCGATCGCTACTGCATATTGCCTCGGTCCCTGCTTGCTACTGGTTCGAACATGGCTCCTTTTGATGACTACGTAAGTAAACCATTTCTTATAACACACATTAGATATACGGTCTGTGAATTAAACGTTTGCATTGACTATATAGATATATGTTGGGACAACACTGGTGGATGCTGGACGTGGATGGTGCTGTCCATCTAATTCCATGGTAAGCTACGGCCTATGAGGCTTGTGTTATGGATACTAGATAGTAGATACACTACACATATATAACTTTAAATACATACATATTATAAATATAAACACCCATTTTCTTACTACACATAAGCATACAAAAATGACTCCTGTCTAGTCATCCGTTTTCCATTATTGCACCGCTTTACAGTCACTTTAGTCTACTAATAATACTAATATGATAAACGCGACAGCTTGTGAGGATGCATGAATTTGTGTTGTTTGTTTTTCACGCAAAAACTACTGAACGAATTTTGATGAAACTTTACCGTAATATAGTCCATACATAGAAGTAACACATAGACTATAATGTTTAAAGTTATGAGTAATACATTATTGTAATAGGCGTGCGGAGCCGCAGGAAAACGCTAGTTAACTATAAAAATATATTTGTGTTCTGTAACTATGGTCTATAGGTAAGTATATATTATATTTATTATTTCTGTACCAATCGTCGTCGCTGTAGCCGACTCTTTTCATGTAAATAACATATTTGTCCTTTTTTCTTTTTTATTTTAATGTGCGTAGAGAATAAATTATTGATGAGAAAAAAATATTGTACCTATTGTATCAGAGTGGATAGAAACTCAAAGGAGTAAGTATTTAATGTAATCCATATTAAAATTACTATAAATTTACAGTCCTACATTTCCCTGGGTGTAGCAGCCGGTGGGATCACGGAGTTTGATGATGGCGCAGTGTCTGATGGAAGACCCAAACCCTGGAGGAATAAGGAGAGGAAAGCCAGCCTCAAGTTCTGGCAGGATATGTCCTCGTGGTATCCGACTTGGAACCAAGCGAGTCTAATTGTCGATTATGTTAGAGTTCGAGCACTTTAAATAAATATTTCGATATTTGCGAGTAATTCTTTTATTTTTATGAAATACGGCTTTGCGCAGACGCATGAAGAAACTTTTTAATAGATTTTTATCATACAAGATCATTTAATATGATCTTGTAGTATTAGTCTCTTTAAAAACCCATCTATTCATGTCTTTAAATGTAAATTAAAAATTATTTATTATCACAAATGTAGACAGTATCAATCCTTTCTCTGTTTTCATATTTTATATAATATTAAGTATGTATATGTATGTATATATGTATGTATGTATGTATGTATGTATGTATGTATGTATGTATGTATTTATGTATATGTGATTATTATTACCTTTATTTCTAGTATATATTTAATATTTTTTTTTGCACTAAATATAGTAGAAATACTAAATGTAGTATAGGGCAATAGCCCGCTGAAATCTTCCACAACCAGGGGTTGACTGGAAGAGATCTGTTTTAGAGATAAGTCCACCTTTGTGAACTATGTTTACTTTGTTATTTTTTTTCTGTATCTTATTTTAAGTGCAATAAAGAATATAATATGTTGTAGGTAAGTTGTCTAGGTCGAACTTTTAATTAGTGGGGGCTTATATTTTCTACATTTTTATTTAATATCGAATAATATTGAGCGTAATATGTATATATTTTGTGAATTGTTGTAAAAAATTGTATAGGACCTTGATTTTAAGTGTATACATTACACAAACAATTACAAAAATCGATCCACAGTTAGCGTTTTTTTTTTGATTAGGTACTTATTTTTTTCAAAGTAGATCAAAAAGACAGGTTTAACTGATTGAATTGATAAAATATATAAAAAAACGCTCTCGAACTAACTTTAACTCCATTAATATAATTTTATTTAAAATAAAAGACGTGTGGCACTCGGAGACTGCCGCGGTAAAGCTATTGCATAGCATTTTTTATCAACTAATGCAATTATAATTATTTATTTTATTAATGCAGTATTTTTTTCCTTTGTTTTTTTTTCTTTGATATTAATTCAAGTTACACTTTGAGCGTGGTGACCGATAAAAAAAATTTTCTTTTATTAAATAAATGAGATGTTAATATTGTTCAAAATATTTTTATTATCTTTCAATACATGTCGGTTCTTCAGGAATATTTATCATTGAAACTATAGGTTTATGGTAACTTAAATAAGAAACATAAGTTTGAGACTTGATATCTTCTAAATATCTGGAAAATACCGCGTCAATGGTGGTTCCATATTTTGTTGTGGATTCTTGTGGATCATTATTCATTTTCAAATTCAATATTTTCGAAAGCAAGCTGCATCGACTGCATCTTTGTTTCAAGAATTCAAAAGACTGTCTCTAAATAGTGTTCAGACGATAGCTCAAAGTGTATTAGATTTCATTAGTAATAGAAATGGCATTTCATTAATTACTTTCAACTGCCAAAGTCTAAATAGTCACAAATACGATTTACAAGATTCAGTTACGAGGCAAGCAAATGTGTTACTTCTTACCGAAACAGATGTCAAATGTCAGATCGTCAGAAACGTCAGATGTCAGATGTCAAATCTGAGTGGGGGGTGTTAGGTTTTTTTCGTTACGGAATTTCTGGATTCGGTCCCCACGCTCAAGGCCCGCGATAGAAGCTATGCAATAGCTTAAAACAAAATAGATTAAAATTTTGACAGAATGAGATTTATGACGAAATTAAAAAAAAATACTACATGTTTACTTTTTATTATGTAATTGGTTAGAATCATTTGTATCTTACGTTCACAAGAAACACATTGTCAAAATTTCAGTTTTTAGATCGGATGGTTTTGTCCAGCTGTCAATAAATCGATCAGTTTATATTATTAGTACCTGGGCCACCGAGCTTTGCTCGGAGTTTTTGGTTAAAAAGTACAATTTTCTTTAAAAAAACTAAAAACTTGAATAAATAAAAAAAAACAAAAATAAATTATACCTTTGTATCCGACCGGGATTCGAACCCGGACACCTATGATTGTCAATCTTGCACCTTGGCCGCTTGAACACGATGCTTATACCGAGCGTGCCTATTACCGACCACATTTTGAGTGGAATAATGCAAAAAAAAAAAACTGCATAAAAACTCGTTTTCTCAGACAAGACTAATCTAGATCGATTTATCGCCCCCGAAACCCACTGTTTACTAAATTTCATGAAAATCGTTGGAGCCGTTTCCAAGATTCAGATTATATATTGATACAATATAAATATATATGTTTATATATATACAAGAATTGCTCGTTTAAATATATTAGATATAACACCTAACATTATATATGTACCTATCTAGATAAATTCATTGCATATTGAGACGGATATCTTCATGGTCTCGACCATCACGTTTTATATAAAAATTATTATTTGGTTTCATGTTTAGTTCTATGACACTCTATATTGTTCCTTAGTCTGAGTAATTAGTATAACAATGTGGTGGCAATCATGTTATTAGCTATGGTATCTCACACTAACACAATAACAACGCTACAAGCTTCGCGATAACCTTTTCGTCAAGGTTTTTCCTCCAATTTTAATTTAAATTGTTAATTGATAACAAAAAAATAAAAACCGACTTCAAACAAAAGCACTAAAAAGTAACAAATAACTGATTGGTAGTTTTCATTTACTATACATACCTAATCAAATATTTTCGAAGTCGGTGTGCTTAGCTTTGTATGGGCTGGCACCGATTTCAAAAATATTTGATTAGATATGTATTTAATAGGTAGGCTTTAATTACTTAGCCAAAGCACACCGACTTCGAAAATATTTGATTAGGTATGTATAGTAAATGAAAACTACCAATCAGTTATTTGTTACTTTTTAGTGCTTTTGTTTGAAGTCGGTTTTTATTTTTTTGTTAAAAAGTTTTTATTTTTCCCTTTTTAGTGTAGACAGTAGTAGCAAAGTAAGGATTCTAACGTGTTAGGCTTGTCAAATCAAACAAAATAAGCCCAAACTCAAAGTATCTACTATTAGCCGTTGAAGAGTTCCACCTATCCACTTTCTGGCCTTGCCATCAGATCAGGTCAACAACACCGAACCACTGTACTATCAACGGAAATAGAAATACTTGCAAAGTTTCAAGTCAATATGACAATTAGAAGTAGGTTAAATTCATCATTAGTTGTTTTTCCACCCTTAGGGGTGGTATTTTTTTTGAAATTTAAATGGGACCAATTTGGAAGTACACCCTTTCAAACAAAACAAAAATTGTCCAAATCGGTTAATAAATGACGGAGTTCTGAGGTAACAAACATAAAAAAAAAAAAAAAAAAAAAAAAAAACATACAGTCGAATTGAGAACCTCCTCCTTTTTGAAGTCGGTTGAAAATACGAATTTATTACATAATACAACATTTACTTAAAAATTAATTGCTTATTATAAAATAAAGTAAAGATTTATTTTACTAAAACCTTTTTTTAATTATTGTCAAGATAAGTTTGTTTTCTAGCTCATGTTATTGTCATTGTACAGACGTTAATAAAAAAATATATTAAAAACACGCCAGTATTAAGTGTCTTAATTTATTTAAGGTAATATTGACTTCATTTCGTTCTACAGTATCGATGAAAACTAACGCTAGTATATCCATACTTAATATTATAAATGTGAAAGTGTGTTTGTTTGTTTGTCTTTCTTTCACGTCGAAACTGCTTGGCGGATTCATGTGATTTTTGTGTAGAGATAGTTGGAGGGCTGGAGAGTGAAATAGGCTACTTTTTACATCGGTAGATTATCTCTTTCCCACGGAAAAACATGTTATAATACAATCCAAAAAAATATTTATGATCTATTCTAGTCTTTATATAATTTTGGTTTTTATCGTCCGGCAATACATTTAAGTATACATATAGCTACATCAACGTCTACGTATTACAACTCAAAAAAAACTATTTATGAGTTAAATATACAGAAACACAAAATATGTTATTAACTATCTTCTCTAGAATTATTACATCAAAAATTTCAGGATATTTTAAAAAAAATTAAAAAGAGATTATGTCATTTAAAAATATTTTTTGTAACCTTTTGAAGTAGGCTATATACAAATTATATATATAGGATACAAATTATATATATATATATATATATATATATATATATATATATATATATATATATATATATATATATAATTTGTATCACTTTATAGTCGATACTAATGCAGAATGAAGACTATAAGAAATCCGTGAGTTTGTTTTTGCTTTTCTGAAAATCTAGGTTTTTTTGGTTGTAACCCTATTTTATCGCAAGTGCGATATTATATTATACACTTTATTGTGCTATTTTTCATTATACGAATATGTCTCTACGGATTGGGTAAGTAATTTAAATTTAAAAATGACGATGATGTTCTCCTAGCCGATTCCGGCCACGGCGGCCAATCTCATTGAGACTAGCCAACTGCGCAGGAGATATTATAGTGCACAAGTGTACGCGCAGACACAACGTGCACTCTCTATTCCTGTCACTCTCATACTCCGGTGGGACGACTGCTCGACACGACCAGTGAGAGTTAATACGCAGAAAGTAGATATTTAATTTGGGAAAAGATAGAGAAAATAATACAGATATTAACAGAAATATTTTTATTACAAAATTTCTAACTTTCTCCGATCTGAAAAAAATAAGCCTAAATTAATTATAGTTAAACTTTAGCAAATTCTTGAAATAAAAATGTACAAAATTGCGCAAAGCGCATTATCAATTTGCTGTAGAAATATTTTATAGGTACTATAAGTTATTTATATTCCATATCGTTATTTTGATTAATTTTCAAGTATAACAAACAAATCGTCATAATTTACTAAAGGTAAATAAACAATAACATATTTTAAAAGTTACAATTTTTAACGATTACTCATTTTATATTATTTTCACGTTATATCAATGTGAATTAGGCCACAGTCTTCGAAAACTTGTTAAGTTTTTTCAGATACGCAGGTACGATGATACCCTCGTAGAGAAGGAGAAAGAAGATATTTTCTGGCACTCTCACCACAACAATACACAATAATATAGGTACTCCTACTTTACGTTAGTTCAAATTTTTGTAAAACTATTTCACCAGTCGAACCTCCTATTCACGCTGAAACCGGCAAAAAATTACCTTAAAGTGCGTATACTCTGACGTAATCAATCCTCAGAGAACTCGTGTCATCAAACCAGGTTGAGAACCACTGGTCTCGAGCGTTCCAGAAGTTAAGCATTGCTTTCGCCGCTTTATTTGTCCACGGTTTGTTGGGTTCGTCGGGAAACTCGTTCACGCCTCCCACCGATAATCCCAATGAGATGTAGAACTGTAAGAATATTATATAGTAAATACAGGTATATGTAATACTGGCGTTTATACTTATAATATAACAAGCGATTTACCCTAGTTACAATTTTATTATTTGTATAGATTCTAATCGAGTCGAATCTGTACATTGATTTTTTTCTTCTTCTTCTTATTGGAATAGTTATTATTATCGATACAAAGGCCGAATCTATAGTTTTAAGAATTTTTGTCTGTCTGCCTGGGAACGCACTACAAGAAAACCACTGGACAGATTTTGATGAAATTTGGTATGATGATAGCTGATCATCTAGGTCAACATATAGAATACATTTTACTGCGGGAAAATATCTCATCTCTGAGAAATCTATACTAAGCATTAAAACGTAACTACGGACGAACCCGAGCGGAGCGAGCGTGAGTCTCTAGTTAGAGATAAAACGATAGGTATATCCATATCTGCATTCGGAAATTTTTACAACAATTGTAACTGTGTCTGGTTTAAGAAACAGTATTTTGTGAATTTAATACAAAATACGATATTTTTTTAAATAACTTGCCAGTTCATCAAAAGGTGCCATCACGGTTCCTTTAAGCCATTGTGGTGCAGCTACTACTCCTTTGTCTTTAGCTTCCGCGGAAAAACCTTCTCCCGGAGAGATATCTCCATAATTCTCGCCGTCCACATAAAGAGAAATACCATCTAGATTAAAGATTAAAATGAAGTATTTAGATTAAATTTAAAATTAAATTATACTTAGAGTATGTTTAAATTTTATTTTTTTGGATTAATAAATAGTACCTAGGTAAAAAAATAGGTGAAAATACTGGATTCTAAATTAAAATATCTTATATATGAGTCATTCTCTTTTCTATTATGATTTTATTATAACACACGAAGTACACGAAGTAAATTCTGTTGAATCTAAAAGCTTAAAAATATGAGGCTGTATTTTTTATTATTTGACATACTAGGTGTTCATTAAAATTTTACATTGACTGAATTTTATATATCATTGTTACAATTCTTTGTAAAACGTTTTCTCTCACCTGGTTTCCATACCAGCGTATAATTATGGAATGTCTTGCTCCAATGATCAAAACCAATTTTTTCTTTTAGATGAGCACTCCTAAAATCATATTGTTAATCTATACATATAATAAAATTGTAACTAAGCCGAATCTGTACATTCAATATTTTTTAGAAAATCTTATTGAAATAAACATTATTATCGATACAGAGGCCGAATCTATAGTTTTTAGAATTTTTGTCTGTCTGTTTGTTTGTTACCGCATCATGAAAAAACTACTGTAGGGATTTTGATGAGGATTTTGATGGTTATCCGGGTCAACATATATGTAGGATACTTTTTACCGCGGGAAAATATCTCATTTCTGAGAAAAAATACAAAAACTGCAATATAAGAGTACACTATGTAAAACCTAAGAATTTGGTTTTTGGTCATCTGAACGCGGGCGAAGCCGCGGGCGATGCTAGTTAAGTTATATATAGCGAATGCTCAATAAGAACAAGTTAGTTCATATATGGCTGAACAGTGCTCTTAGTCTGTACATAAAGACCTGATCAATTTATGAATATATTTACCTGTAAGGTTCCTCTGCTGTTAATATAGGCCCTGCGTATAATTTCTTGGAATAGTCCACATTTCCTTTAACTGTGGCGATGCGTAATAATCCTGAAGCGTAGTTTTGGGCTCCATAAACATTTTCTTTGGGCTCAAGTTGAATCTCTGTAAAAAGATGCTTAAATTAACGATTTGTTTGGTTACCATGGATTCGTGTTCTGATGGTGGAAAGCAGATGAAAAGAAAAATTAGGCCATCATGGTCTAACATTACCTGGTATCAGCCAGCTACCTAATGGCATTCTAGCCCCAACCTCTATACGGCCATATTTGAAGTTAAAACTCTTTTTGGTTGTTATTTTTGCAGTAATAATAGGAGGCAAGATTATAGGTCCGGTGCCTTCACGGTAACATTCACTTGTACCAAGAAGTCCTGTGCATCTGAAAATACATTATTTATATTAATATTCAATTTTCAAGAAATATATAATTATTTCTTATAGAAATTTAATTACAATCTTTTCTTGTACTAGGTAGATGAGAGTCTAATAATATGATCATTTAAATAACTATAAGATTGATATCCAAAACTTATAACTGATAATATTGCAAAGTATCTTGCATGGTTTTTTTACAATGTAATAGCTAACCAACTTTGATATTACATATTACTACATTAAAGCGACTCCAATGCATACCACAGATATTAATTTATAGATTCAGACCGCATGCCACAAATATAAACGTTAATTAATCAAATCACATATTCTATGACGATATATGGTGTAATGGTGTAATATCTGATTATATGACTGAACTAGCGACTCACCCTCGCGTCTAGAAATGCTTTGACGGTTAGTATAGATTTCTCAGACATGAGATATTTTCCCCCATAAAAAAGTTTACTATACTCGTATATTGACTTGGATACCCAGCTATCTTCTAACGTCGTACTAAATATTTAAGATCAAATATTACCTTGCTGTAAGATCTAGAGACACAAGACCTTCTCCGTACTTTGACTCTACGGTTACTGGTTGAATACTGAGTTGTCCACCTCTCACTCGCATGTTCTTGTCATATAAATACACGTTGAATGGATAATCCTTTAGAAAAATAAAAGATAATAAAAATTGTAATCATATTAATTTAATCCCTCCACGACCGCGCACACCCCGGCGTGTCAGTTAACAATAGATTTCTTAGAAATTTACCAGAAAGGCGTTATAAGGTCACCTTAGTTATATGTAGTGTTAGCTTAGTGGTCAAAAAACTGACCATAATCATTTTTTTATTGATTACACTAAAACTCATCCATAGTTACTAAACAACAAAAAGAAAGTCGGTTGATAAACAGAGGAGATAAAGGTACTGAAATGTTTTTTGTTTGTCTATTTACATATAGATTTACTGAATTGATGTCTACTTACTGGCTCCCCCGGGAATTTTATTTCCGGGGTCCATATTTTGCTTTTTTCAATAGTTGAGTCAAAATTGTCCTCGAATAATAATTGGCCTTTACAAACAAATCCTGGTACTGATACTTTTGACTTTGATATTTCACATGGATATCTTTCTGGTCCTTTGTTATTCGTAGGCTCGTTTGGAAAGATTTGAGAAGAGGGTTGTGTCGATGAGGTAGTTTGAGGTGGGACTTCAGTTACGTCAGATTCATTTGATACAGGATTACCTTCTTTGTCGACGTACCCTTAAAATATTATGTGTTAAAAATTGCACGTTAATGGAAAGATATTGTACCTCTATTTTTATATAAATAGATTTACCTTTAACTGTCCATTCACCGTTATCTTGCCTATATCCAAGACCATCTTTTATAACAAAAGTCCAAAAATAGATTTTATCACCAATTCTTAATTGAGCATCTTTGTCATTAAAGATCCATAATCCATTTTTAGGCTTAGTAATATCTCTAGACCAATAACCCGCTTCTAACCCTTCCATTTCTTCATTAAGTTTTCCATGAAAGGCAAAAAGTGAGTAGCCATCATCTGTTAAAAAGAGTTATTTTATTAAAAGTCTGAATAAGATATTAATAAAACGCCACCTCACTTTAGTGTTTTTTTAAATGCGGCTTTTCCTTCCAGTTTCATGAGGTTTTCAATTATAATGGCAATCAAATGGTATTAGGTTGTCCTGTCATGTTGAATCTACTTAAACATAAAAATGAAGCTTGGCTACAGTTTTAAGCCAATTTATTTTCTATATAGGTACAATATTCTTTATTATCAACAAAAAAAACTATCTACTTTTGATTATGCTCTATCCGAAACCTCAGTCGAAATTAATTTAAAAAAAAATAATCGGCATTGCCATCCAGCAGGGGAATGAATGCACCCCCCCAACGTGCGTTCACCTTGTCGTGGTGGGGGGGCTCAGTAGTGCCCGGCAATCCAACCGGGCGCGAAGCTAAGAAACGCACAGGGAGGTTGCCCACTTCGGTGGGCGGTGGGTGGTGGCCCTCTTCGGGGGGCGGTGTACCTTGCGGGTTGCTCCTGGTACTTCTCTGATAGCAGAGTGGACTGTGGAGCAACCCCATGGTTGTGGTGGTCTGCTTCGGCTGACCTGCCGTCGGGGCGTCGTAGTTGAATGCGTAAGCGATCCTGCGACGCCCCATTAAGACGGGGGCAGGTTTTGTTGGGTTTTAGTGGGTAGTACTGGCTGTATTACGCCGGTGAGTCCCACACGTCGTGCGTAAATGCATTTCCCAACGTTAAAAAAAAAAAGGGGAATGAATGCAGCTAGCATTCTTGCCACGATTCCACGCGGACAAGATTTGTACAGTAATAATTAAATGTGCATTTGTTTTGTATTATAATTAAATATATTAAAAAAATGTATGTAAATTTTATAATCTACATGTATTTATGAAGCTGGAGTTAAATAAACAACAAAACAAACATATTATCAAACTGTATATAAACCACAAGACACGATATAAACAGGATAAACTTAGATAATTTAACCTTAATTGTATGTAAGTACTATTATTTCTCCATGTTCCTTGTTATTTGGCAGTAACATTTATAAATATGTTATTGTAAACATTTTTTTAACCGACTTCGAAAAATGAGGAGGTTATCAATTCGGATGTTTATATATTTATTTTTATATATACTCCGTGATATATAGACGGATTTGCAAAATTATTTTTTTTTGTTCGAAAAGAGGTATGTTCCGAAATAGTCCCATTTAAAGAAAAAAAAAACCCCTCCATGTGTAGAAAATAGGTAAAGATTTGTTTTTCACCTTCCATAATACCATATTGTTTTTGAATCTCGCCTTAAAAATATATTATCTTTAATAATATTCGGTGCGGGAATCGAAATCGTGACTTACAGTGCAATAGACGTCATTTAAACCAGTTCCACTATGTATGAAGTAAACTTCAAACACATTGAGGAAAGAATGACTGACAGATTTTCATCATATTTTTAATCTCAAAAATATATTAAATAATAATTAGTACGAGTTTTATAGTTGATCCAACAAATATGGCGTTGATTGCAAAATAATGAGATGCAATTAGTTTGACCACATTAATTACGTTATAAAGCTATGTGATTATTAAATTCTAATAATATGATTGGCTTTTTCTTCTTCAATGCAATTGAACCACTTGGTCCTATGACCAAGTGGTTCAATTGCATTGAACCACTTGGTCATAGGACCAAGTGGTTCAATGCAATTTTCTGCAGAACTAATATTTCATATAATCATTTCATAAACATTACCACGGCGTAATTATTTATATTCAAATTTTTGGTTCCAGAAAATAAGATAAAAATTATTATTTAATATCTATAGTTTTTGTTTAAAATGTTTATTATTCAGTCACCATTTTTCAATTTCTAAAAAGCCGAATTCAAAGAGGTTAAATAAAAACCATGTCAGTCAAACTACTATTATGAAAAAGACTTAAAAGTTACAATGAAATCATGCTAGGTTCACTTTAGAGATATAGAATCGACAAGGGAGCAAAAGCAGATTATGATGTGAAAGTCATCTTTCCACCTATTTATATATATTGTGTTAAACCAGATATAAAGAATAAGAAAAAACACTTAGCAAAGATCAGCTGTGATAAAAGTAATTGTGTTTTCGAGACTGTTGTTCAGTGCAATGGTTCAGATTTACAGACTACCTAAATTAATGGATGTAGATCAGTCATTTGCCAATAAACATCATTCCATTCATCATTCCCAGTTTGAGTTTATTTTGAGAAGAATCTGTTGAGATGGGAGTTCCAAAAGAGCAGTTTTGATATGTCTGATTACCCTTGATTAGTTAAATCAACCTTAACTAGACAATCAGCTTAAAAGGGCAAGTATTCTGTAACAACATTATTTAACGCAATAGCTGAATTCGTGAACATACCTACGTCATCTAATTCTATTATTATTCTACTTCATAAATAAAATTGAAGTTTGTGCCTGTAATATAAAAATAACAGCTATTTACCAAATACATATGAAAGTATATTACTATAAGAAAAACTATTTTTAAAATGTTTGTCTATCTTTTTATCTACCTGTATGTCTGTTTGTTCCGGCTAATCTCCGAAACAGCTGGACCGATTTTGACTGGTACTTTCACTGGCATGGAGCTGATTTTATAAGGAGTAACATAGGCTACTTTTATTTTAGAAAAAGAATTAGGGTTCCGCTCAAAAAATTTAAACTTATAAAATTGTAAATATAATCGTACGTAAGTCGCTAATGACCGGTTTACACGTGTTAAGTAGTTTAGTAGTTAACTAAATTTTAACTTAATTTTAAGTGATTAATTGCGTGTAAACGGAGAATTTAGTAGCAAGTTGCAAGTTAAAATTAAGTTAACTACTTAACTACTAAATTAGAATGTTTTCTATTTTTTCGGTTTAGTTGGTGGGCGGGGCTTGTCACTTGACACGTTTGGACACTTGGACAGTACAATTTAGTTATAAACGCATAAGTAATGACGAGCTAAGTTTTTTTCGTTATTTTTTTGTTAAGAAGCATATTTAAAAAAAGAATGCATAAGCATCCATAAGGAACGTAAAAGTATGAATTATCTCGCTTAAAACAAATTTAAGCACAGAATTTACGATTTCATTACGTTGTTGATTTTCCATCTTGAATGAAATAAAGAGCTTCAATTCAATTTTTTAATTGAGCACAGATTAGTTCGCCAATGTCACGTAGAATAGAGAAGACAACTAAAGAGCTTAACTACTTAACCACTAAACACGTTTGGACAGCTACTAAAAATAAGTCACTTAAAATTTAGTTAACTACTAAACTACTTAACACGTGTAAACCGGCTATAAGTATTATATGAATAACAACCGCGAACTCGGTTACATAAAAGTTCCGTAACAGGCCCATCTTACAATTATATCCATAGAAGATATTTGCACCATCAATTGACACGACTAATTTTATTTTTTGGAAACAAAATAATATGAATAAGTGAACGACTTGTAGAAATTCCAGTCTTAGTTATTGTTGGTCCAGTCATGTTGAGTACAATATACTAATATCATTTCAATTGGCTCAGTTGGTAGTGACCCTACTTGCTGTGCCAGCGGTCGCGGGTTCGAGTCCCGCTGGGGACATTAATTTGTGTGATGAGCACGAATGTTTGTATTCCAGTCATGGGTGTTAATATTTATAATATGTATGTATTTAAAGTTATATATGTGTAGTGTATCAACTATCTAGTATCCATAACACAAGCCTCGTAGCTTACCATGGAACTAGATGGCGCTGTGTGTTAATGTCCCAACATTTATTATAAAAAAAAATTGGTCCAAAGGAATTTTTTCCTATTGTGAAAGTCAAAGAGTCATTAGCTATCTTCTGTTATTGTATAGTTTATTTCGTGGTATTAAAGTTTAAAGGTTAGCTCATTAGGCACTATAGATAACAACTCTAAATATTGTTTAAAATTCCACCCGTCAATTTTAATCTTATTTAGCCTATGATTTTTTTATTATTTAGCAAATAATAACAACAAAAATAACTAAAAACAATATAAAATACAACATTAAAAAAAATACGACGTTAAATTATTACGAATAGTCTGAGATTTTAACAAGCCATTATCAAACAAAGGTCGTATAGAAAGATCAAGGTCACACATCTATGTATATTTATTTAGTACATATTTTGTGATCCTAAAATTAATCACTGTTAATATTCAATTTGCCACATATGTATATATATACTTATAACATGTATTTAAGTTTGTTTGAAAACGTAAAATTTTTGGAAAAAACCACTCTTTTTTTCTTCCAGAATCTATTACTACAATAATGCATTGATAATTTCTAAAATAATGTTATCTAAAATACAGAATCAACATTTATGATATTCTTTATTTTTTTAATTATTTATACAACAAACGAGTATTTACCTGGCACGGATACCCTGAGTCCTTTAGGATAAATAGCTTCTAATTTGGCCGGTGGCACTTCATAGCCAACTGTATAATCACAGAAGCATCCGATTGACAAAACCAAAATTAATATTCTAAACATATTTAAATAAGCTTAAACTGTTTTATAAAATATTAAAAAATAAATCACATTGCCGGCATGTAATGTGCGATGCTCACTGTTTATAAAACACGACTAACCGCCGAAGCCGATGTTCATTCCGGATCTATAACTAACGGTTTTGCTTAATAGGTAATATTTTTGACAGAAATAATTTGTATTATCTAAAATATCATAGAATTGCATTTATACGTTTTTCGTAACTTTTTTAAATCTATATTTTTTCAATGTGCCAGGGATCATATGAATTACTGATTAGCTTTCGATCGCGGCTTCCCTAGTACGAGTAAGTTGAACCTTAATAATATGCCTATGGCTTTTTGCTCTTCTCCAAGGGAGGTTTCGTTAAAATCGATTAAGTCGTAAAGTTACGTCATTTTTGCTCGAATCGTCTATCAGAGAGAAAAAATAATAATAAACGCGAGTCTGACCCTCGCACCGAGGTTTTCGTTCCACCAAATATTGATTTCAAATATTGATTGTTATTAATGTATATGAATAGATAGATTCATCGATTGGAAAAACAAACTTTACCTCTTCTAGTTCGAGATGTCCCCTCGGCGCTGGGCCCCCTGGAAAGTTTCTAACAGCAGAAGCTTTAGGGGCTTTTTAGGTTACGTCGGCTATAATTTGCTTTAAACATGTGCATTTGTCCCATTTTTTATAAAATACCTATATTTTTTATAAACCCTTAATTTTAGGATGTCACCCACATATGAATTTCAACTAATCATATCCTAACTTTTTATAATATCTTTATGTATGATTTCACCACAAATAGCTATGATTTATTATTTCCCAAAATTCAACAAACGTTTATTATTAGGTATTTAACTCGCCTTTTTGCTCAATGCTTATCTTTTTGCCAAGTTAGTATATTTTTGTATGTATGTTTGTATTCAGCTTTTTTTAACGTCCCACTGCTGGGCACGGACCTCCCTTCATTAGATTTTTGCGTAAACATAAATCAAAATGTTTGTTCCCCCGATCAGTAACTTTCTTAAACAGAAATTCAAAGTGACATACAAACGAACACACAGTGAAGACTTTAATACAGAAAATAGTTAATTAAATAAAAATAAAATATTTTACATAAAATAGTTTTATTGTAGTAGTATTACGTATTGTAAGCTTAAATATAATCATCAGAAGTGTACCCACTCATCAAATAAATTGACTAGACTGAAAAATTTGTATTTTATAATAAAGGTATTATTTTTGTGAATCGATTATTAAATAAATGGAAAACTTAAAGATTTAGATAAAATTGGTATTTTATAATAATGGTATTGTTTTTGTGAATCGAGTATTATACCAAGTGAAAAAAATTATGATTTAGATAAAAAGAGAGCAATAGACGCGATACATTCTAGGATTTCTGATAAAAAGTAACACTAAAAATGGGACAAAAGTTATGTGATATTATTTTCTCGGAGGTTAAACTAATAATATGCATTTTTCCACAGCTTGAAAAAAGTCAAGTCTGGAATTAAGTTTTACGCTGAAACGTTGAGGCTTGAGAGAAAATGGATAATAGTTTAAGGAGATTCAAAATGAGGAAGCATGTTATTAAATTTTAGACAACATTATTACAAAATGCATGGAGAAGTGAATTTTTTTGTATAATTGTGATAAAAAAATATTACTTTTAATATAAATGGGATGGTCATAAGAGTAGCAAAATTGAACAAGTTTTAAAGTTTTATCAAGATTGGTTACAAATGTAATATCAATGAGGAAAGGATGTCTTAGCGAGAATAATAATTCGCTATTGATAATGAGATATGTTAATTATAATAATGTGTCCTCTTGACAGATTTTGAACATCTCATTGAGATTGGCCAACTGCACAGGACATACTATGCTTCTTTAAGTACACATGTGGACAATTTGGCGAAGGATTGACACCTTTACGTGCTCTTCTAGGCACGGGGGTGAAACACAACCAACTTTTCATCTCCGGGCTGTTAATAAGGATTTCTTAATAGAAGCAGTTTCTCAATAATTTAATTTATTATTTTATTAACTTAACTCTTATATTTTTTATTATTTGTTGCTTAAAAGCTATAACGCGTATACTTTAACATATTCCACGAGCATTTCACTTGATGTCCATGTTGGGTACCAAGTTTTTTTATTCTTCTTGAACTTCAGCATGGCTTTAGGACTGCTGTCTCTCCACGGCTTAGCGTCACTTACAGGAAAGTTATGGATTCCACCAACAGTTACTCCAAGGGAGATGTAGAACTAAAAAAATATTATAAGAGAATTATATCTGTGTATATGTATGCATATTTCTAATTTCATAGTTAATGACATTAAGTTACCATTTCATCTAGTGGTGCCAAAATATTGCCTCTATTCCACACCGACTTTTGCATCTCCAAATTAGAGTCAATCATATTTATATCAGCGAGATCTGACTCGAGTTTAGTAGAATTTAGATACCCATAACTTTCGCCATCCACAAACATTTCAATGCTTGCTAAAAATGAAATTCTTCCTTTATATTTCATTACATTCACTCCCCGTGTTTAATCAGCACGATGAGATCAGCCTGAATTAATGGGCATATTTGTGAGTAGTAATCTATTTTTTATTATATTCCAACGTGATTGCCTTTGCTGATACAGTGAACCTTATTAGACTTTATAAATTTTGAATGAAATAAAAATAAGGTTATATAGTGCGTATATGTAGTTTCTCAGAGATGGCCCATTTACATAAATAGTCATTTATAATACTTTATAATATACATAATTTTTTATTATATTTGAATTCATAGGTAGTTGAATAAACATCAAGTTTGTTTAATATTTATTTATACAAATACAAAAACGAAAAATCTTACTTGGCCCCCATACAACAGTATAATTGTGATAATCGTCTCCCCAAATTGTACTTTCATGAATTCTTTTTTTTAAAAAGCGTGATCTGATAGGCTCTTTGTCATATATAATTGCTCCTCCAAATAACTCATTAGATAAATTCGAATTCCCTCTTGCAAACGCAATTCGTATTAAGCCAGATCCGTAGTGGAGTTTTCCATATACATGATCACAAGGTTCTAAGTTAATCTCTGAAAGAAGGAAAAAATTATAATTAAATATGGAATAACATTTCTGATTTCCTTTACATCTTCATGCTACCTTGCTTCTGTATCTGTGAAGATTCCATGATAAATTTAATAAATATTTTTACTTCAACAATTGGAATTTTGCAAGCCTCATGATTTTGTAGTTTTTTCGTATTTTATTGGTCCAATTTACTTACTACAAAGCTGATTTGATCTCCTGAAAATGTAATCTTTACGTATTACATTTTCAGGATTTTTGCATGTGATGAGTCATGAGTCTATCTTTCTCTATCTATCTATCTGTCTAATCATCTAATTAAAAATTACTCGAAAATGGCTAGATAGACCTCATATTTCATAGTCGCAAAAAAAGTTCTAATTTGTATTTCAATTAGTTTCGTTGATTCAAAGAAAAATATTTTTTTCTAGATCATCATAAATGGTAGATTTTATTAAAAAGCTAATTAAAGACATGTATTTAGTGTTACATAGAAACGTATAGCTAATTAATATTACCTGGTATTAACCAGTCGCCAACTGGTAATTTGGCTCGTACTTCGATTTTCCCATATTTAAAGTTGAAACTTTTGCGTGTAGTGATCTTGCCGCTTATTACTGGAGGCATAATATGTGGTCCAGAAACGACTTTATAGCATTCATTCGTTGCTATTTGACCCGTGCACCTGGTACTTTATTAAAATATATAATTAAAAGAAATTAGTCGATTTAGATTTTAAAAGTGTGTTTCCTCGGTGGTCTAGTGGCTAGCATGTACAGGTATGAGTCCTAGATAGATCCAAGTTTGGTTACTGAGTTATTCTGATGAAAAAGTTTCAGTGGTAGTCCAGAGTCAGAGAGTTGAGAATTGGACTCAAACTTTGGAGAGCATGCAAAGCCGTCAGTCCTGCGCTTGATTTCTCACGGAAAGTGTGGAATTGTATTCCTACATATCATTGATATTGACAGGAATAGAGAATGCACTTGTGTCTGCGTGCTTAAGTGTAAACGCAGGCACGTACTCAAATTATAGTGCCCTATTCAAGAGGACTTTATGATGAAGTGTATTGTTAAATACAAACGTTCTCTAAACTAAATCATTGATGTTTCTACTGGAAATAGAAGATAAGTAACGGTTTTTTTTGAAAACCACTTTTTAAATAAAGCTTCTTTCAAGAATTTAAATTAAAGTGAAGATGTACTAGGGAGTAACTATGGTTTCATTTACTCATTTACGTATATTTTAGTATTTCCTCATGATAAGGTTCTAAAACAGTGTAACAGCACAAAAACAGTCTGCGAATAGTGTTAGTCATTTGGTTGAGAAATCATCTTCAAATAAATATGAATAAATAAATATGGAACACACAGCACCATCTAGTTCCATGGTAAGCTACGAGGCTTGTGTTATGGATACCAGATAGTTACACTACACATATTATAAACATAAGCATCCATGACTGGAGTACAAACATTCGTAATAATCACACCAACGGGACTCGAACCCGCGAGTGCTCGCACAGCACGTTGGGTCACTACTAACTGAGCTAACGTGTCGTGGAATTATTATTATTATTAGTAATATATTGTTTATTATTATTGTGTCCATCAGAGGCGCAATTTTTTCTTATTTTATTCTTAAAATTTATATGTGGTCTGCTTGAGAAATACAGTTTATTAAAAAATAATGATGAAAATCTATTTCCATAATACTTTCTTAGATTTACGCTAATATAATAACATTTTAAGTGTGACTATGTTTTTGGATAATTTCGTAGTTTAATTTTGAATATAAATATCATAAACAAAAAATAAGACAACCGAAAAATTATAAGCCATTTTTGTCGAATGATGGCTTTGGTGTTATCAATAAAAAAATTGTAAACATTTTTTTTATACAGGTACCTACGTAAATTCTATTCATTTATGTCTTCCTCTGAATAATGAAAATGGTCGAATCTCGACCACAAGACGAACACTAGTATAATTGGAGATAAGGTAGCTATAAAAGCAGTGCCGGATAAAACCTTAGCGCCGCCCATTGGCATAGTAAAAAATGCCGCCCAATTATAGAAATTTTGCATAAAATGGGTAAAGTTTTGATAAAGTTTATTTTTTTTTAAATGCAAAAGAATAATTTATAAATGATTTAAATTTTTCGAAAAATGTAAAGTATTTTTTTTTAATTAATCAAAATCAAAGAAGGCGTTTTCGATAACGCGAAGAGATTTTTTTTCCACCCTCCGAATTTTGCCGCCTCTAAAAATTTGCCGCCCGAGTGCCCCTTTTTTTTTTTTTTTTTTTTTTTTTTTTTTTTTTTTTTTTTTTTTTTTTTTTTTTTATCGTTGGGAAATGCATTTACGCACGACGTGTGGGACTCACCGGCGTAATACAGCCAGTACTACCCACTAAAACCCAACAAAACCTTCCCCCGTCTTAATGGGGCGTCGCAGGATCGCTTACGCATTCAACTACGACGCCCCGACGGCAGGTCTGCCAAAGCAGACCACCACAACCATGGGGTTGCTCCAAGGTCCACTCTGCTATCAGAGAAGTACCAGGAGCAACCCGTAAGGTACACCGCCCCCCGAAGAGGGCCGCCTCCCTGTGCGTTTCTTAGCTTCGCGACCGGTTGTATTGCCGGGCACTACTGAGCCCCCCCACCACGACAAGGTGAACACACGTTGGGGGGGCGCCCGAGTGCCCCTAGTGTAAATTCAGTGCTGTATGACAATCAATAGAACTTTTAAAAACCTACATAATATTCAAGTTTGTAGAATCATCGATATAGTTTTCGATTATAGATTGTTTTGTAGGCTCTGGTTTAATTTTCAGTATTCCATCATCGATACTAGTAACTGCCATAGTTAAATAAACGTTAAATTTGTAATCCTAAAAAATAAATTATGATTTAAAGTTATTGAATTTAAAATATATAATGTGAAATGATAATGTGATGGTCTAAAACTTCTACAGTCTATCAAACAAATCAAATCACTTATCAAATCGTAAAAACTTAAAGATATACGCACCGGTTCTTGGGGATACATATTCTCAAATTGCCATTGTGTTAGATTTTCAATTCCTGTAGTAAAATCTTCACTGAAAATAAGTCTTCCTTTGCATCCTTTTTTCCCGCATTGTAGTACTGTTTCGGAAAGAGCACAATATGGCTCAAAGTCATAATTATCTTCAGAGAATTCTGGAAAAATATGAATTCATTATATTATTTAAAATTTTATAATTAATTATTTAATTTATATAATAATAATATTAATTTTGCTTATTTAAACACCTATTGCTAAGCTAGGGTATAGTCCGCAACGCTGGCCAAATACTGGTTGGTGGACTTTCAAGAACTAGTTAGGTTTTTTTAGAAATGAAAGTTTCATCACGATGTTTTACCTAATCAAATTAGCAATTTAATTAGTACTTATACAGTTTAGTTTTTGAAACTAACTAGGGGGTAATCCCTGTATCTTCTGAAACTATTTAGATGAAATTTAGTAAAAAGATAGTTTAAGACCCTGGTGAGGACTTAGGATACTTTGTATGGGGGTGAAAATGGGGATGAAATTTTGTATTGAGAAGCAAGCTTGGGACGAACCCGAACGAAGCGAGAGTGAGTTGCTTACTAGCTTTGTTTATAATAAAATTAAAATAGGTTTAGCAAAGGTTATTACTTTCTTAGATTTACGAGAATATTTATTGTTTTATAAAAAACATTATACATGTTTATAATAAAAACAGCTAAAATTAAATTAAAATCTATATTTAATTATAAAACTTATTATACTTATAAAAAATGTTTTAAATTAAAAGTAACAAATATTGTAAGGTACTTTGGTGCCATTTTTGAACTTTTTGAAATCAATTTGTAATTTTGCAAATGCTGTAAAGCGAAACGTTGGAAACCGGAAACCAAAAATCAAAATAAATCCGCGAAGCAATCCAAAAAGATAGTTTTATTTAAAAAAAAGTTATTTGAAAAAAAAAAAAATTTTTTCTGTATTATTGCCTAAACGAATAACAATAAATAAAGTCATATACAAAGTTACATACCAGTTACAACCCAAGTTCCATGTATTGGAAAAGTTACACTATTTTTATTAACAGTGATATCGTAATTAATTTGATCTCCTTTTTCTAACATTAAGTTTCTATCCTGCATTATCCACAAACCCTCTCGAGGTTTAGGTACATATATTTGCCATTCTTTACTTCCATCAGTGCGATTCATTGCGCCATGAAAAGTTACTGATGTATAGCCTTTGTCTGAAAATAAAATATTACTCTAGAATATCAAACTTTTATATTATAATTTTATTACCCACGATTTCGAAGTACGGTAAGTAAAATATTATCTATACATATAATAAAATTCTGAGTCAAACTTCCACATTAAATATTTTATGGAAAATCTTATTGAAATAATAATTATTATCGATACAGAGGCTGAATCTATAGTTTTTAGAATTCTTGTCTGTCTGTCTGTGATCGCATCACGAGAAAACCACTGAACAGATATTGATGAAATTTTGTATTAGGATAGCTGGTTATCCGGGTCAACATATAAGATTATTTTTACTGCGGGAATATATGTCAACACTGAAGAAACCTATACTAAACGTTAAAACGTTAGTAGGTACGAACCCGAGAGGAGCGAAGGTGGGTCGCTAGTACTATTTTAAATTTCAAAGTTGATATGCGTGTGTTTGCTTGTCAATCTTTGACGCTACAAAAGCTATACGAGTTTGGATGAAATTTAGTAGCTACACACATTAACTATGACATAGGCTACTGTTTGTAAAAACAAATAATAATTGGCGACGCTACGTCGATAAAGATGTATGTCGATGAAGGTGTACCGCAAGGGTCTCTTCTACGGCCTTTGTTGTTTAACATATTCATTAACGAATTCTAGTTTTTTTGTTTGCTGATCTAAAGATCTTTAGACCTGTCTCTTCAAATTCTGATGCAGGGATTTTACAGGAAGACTTTAATAAATTGTTATTATGGTGTCGTAACAACGGCATGATGTTAAATGCTAACAAGTGACCAGTTATAAAATTTTCTAGAAAAAAAAAACATCTCTTGCAACAACATATTACATTGATGGTCGTACTTTGTCTGAAGTTCCTCACATACACGATTTAGGTGTTACGCTTGACAATAAGCTCAGCTATAGTATCCACATAGATAATATTGTTAGCAAGGGTTTTAGGACTCTTTGCTTCCTTTTCCGTAACTGTAAGTAATTCAAGGATGCACACACTAAAATAATTATTTACTCAGCTTTGATACAAAGTATCTTGGAATACTGCGGCATTATACGGAAACCACACTTTAATGTTTACTCACAAAGGATCGAAATGATACAAAAGATTTTTCTTTTGATCATTATCTAGTTAAAACTCTTAGGAGTTACGAGGATAAGTTAAATTACTTTAAGCTTCAAATTGAAGACAGCTCCTCTATCTTACATTCTTGTATAAGTTGGTGAATGGATATCGTGGTTATTGATAGCTCCTATGTACTGGCTCAATTAAATATTAGTGCCCCATTAAAGACAATAATCCCGTTGTCTTTTATAACATTCGTAGCAAAAAGCATACGCTCACGTCAAAGACGCTATTCTCCGATTAATACATTGATGTTGAGTTATAATCTATACTAATATTATAAAGAGGTAAAGTTTGTGAGTTTGTGACGTTGTAGGGGTTAATCTCTGGATCTATTGAACTTAACACATAAGAATTATATTGGTACCACAACGACTACTGACAAACAAAAGGATAGAAAAGTTAATATTGACATTTTTTCAGATAGTCTTTCGATATTTAAGCGTAATTTATTTCATTTACATTCATTGAATAAGTGTAATTTATAGTCAAAAGTACATTTTTTGTAATGTTTCCTATATACTAGTAAGAAAAAATAAATAAATACAGCTAACTTTAAGTCTGCTTATTCAACTTAATCATAACTTGTATTGTGTCAGTTTTCTATGAAATGTATGTAACACCTATAATTAAGGCAACACTTAGAATTTAATATTTATTGTAATTATATTATTATGATTTGGTTATTATGCCTTGTTGGTGTTAAATAAATAAGTGTACGGTGTGTACTTAGTCAGTGGGGTATATATAAGATGAAGTAATTCTATTTTACCTGGGAAAGTAACTTTTAGTCCACGCGGTCGCAATGCTTCAAGCTTCTCGTTAAAAAGGGTGTTTGCCAATGAAAGTTTTAAAACGCATAGAACCACTAAAAGTTTCAACAGACTAAATTTTGTCATTGTAGCGTCCAATCGTTTACACAAGTATTCTTGTACTACGAGTAGTTTTGGCGAGCTTGCTTACGATCTTATGTCATTCGCTTTGTATCTGACGTATTAATACGCTAAAAGGAAAAACCTTTATATATATTAACAATTTTTTATTAATACGGACTGCTATTATAAATGTGTTTGTTTATATGTGGGTGTATGTTTGTAACACTGGAATGGCTGTACGGATTTGGATGACATTCAATACACAGATAGACTATAACCTGGAGTAATGCATAGTCTATTGATTATATTTAGGAACTAGAGCGAGGTCCCCCCCCCCCCAACGTGCGTTCACTTTGTCGTGGTAGGGGGCTCAGTAGTGCCCGGCAATACAGCCGGGCGCGAAGCCAAGAAACGAACAGGGAGGTTAAATTATCAAATAATATCTCATTACACTGGAAAATCCATAATTTGATAAACTATTTTTTTGTAAGTATAATCAAAAGATTGTATGTGTGTATGTTACACGGTACACCTTTTCTTCTACAATTAAAGTAAAGAAGTAAAGTAAAATATGTGCCAAGAGAGGGCGCTGATCATTTACCAAAAGATAACACACATTATTATACATAATATGAAGAAATTTGGATATTTTTGAATCAAATTACAGTTGAAAGGCGCCTATGGAGACATGCGAGCGAAGCAGTGCTAAGTACTATGGATATATGAATTTATAAAATGAGATATTGGCCAAATGTGCATCATACCGTGTGAATTAAAGTATCTACATTAAAGGATTTAATGATTTAAATATTTAGAACTATTGAAATGAATTGCATTAATTTATAAAATTAATTACATTAGTGTTCGTCGAGTTGTCAATATTCGATCATAATCATTATTTAAAATTTGACGAAAACATATATTAATAGAATATACCTATATATTATAAAAGAAAACTTATATTTTTATTTTTTTACCATTGATCATAAAAGTACTAGATACACAATCCCATGCAAAAGTTATCTTTAAACTGTCACCAATTGTGTTTAGGTAATATATCCTAGTTAAAATAAATATACAACAATGTAAATTGAACTTTAAATGCAATACTTTAAGGTGTTTTCTCAAAAAAATTAAAAGCGCGCTCAAATGTTTAAACGAGCGCTCATTAGGTGAGGACATATTTTGTTGCTGATTGTGTATCTAGTACTTTTTTGATCGATGTTTTTTACTCTTTAAACCAAGGACGTGTTAGTTAAAGATGAAAGTGTATTACCTGGGTGACTACCCGTCGTAGGTTTTTACGTCCGTTAGTGCACCACACATTTACACAGCAAAATTGTTGTTTTTACTAAAAGTTTATATATAAGAGGTAGGAAATATTCACTGTGTTTTACACGATAACTTTGATAATTTTACTAAGATATAATAGGAACTATGCAAAGCTGAATACTTAAACAAAAAAAATAAATAAATAATAAACCGGTTGCCAAACGGAGGATAAACAGGTATTGAACTGTTTGTCTTCACCTAATTATATATAGATACTAGCGGCTCATCCTCACTTCGCTCGGGTTCGCCTCTAGAAAAACAAAATCAAATCTATCCTACGATAATCCTACATTTTTCAGGGTAAGTTTTTCAGGGGTTTGTAAAGTTACATTAAAATCTATTCAGTAGTTTTTGCGTGAAAGAGTAATAAACATCCAGGCATCTATACATCCACACATCCTCACAAACTTTAGCATTTATAATATTAGTATGGTTAATCGTAGCCAAACATTTAATAGATAATGCATGAAAAGGTATTTTGCATGATAGGTATAGGTAAGATACTTTGCATGATATAGTTGACAGTGTTTTATATTATACTAGCGATTCACTTCTCCGCTAGGAGAACAAAAATAAACCTATCCCACGGGAACCGTACATTTTTCCGGGAAAAAGTAGCCTATGTGTTATTCCAGACTATAATCTAATTCTATGCCAAATTTCATCCAGATCCGTTCTGGCGTGAAAGAGTAACAAACATCCATACATATGTATGTTCACACAAACTTTCACATTTTGTAATATTAATACGGATATACGTATAGTTTAAACCTTATGATGAACAAACTGACGTCCAGTTTAAAAATATGATATACTTCAATAATATTATTATTTATTTATCTACCAATGACGCTCGAGCTATTTATGTGTGTATTATGTATATTGAATAATTAATTTATCGATAGGTATTGTATTAAAGAGGATAAAAACAAATAAGTTCGTGGTTAAAAGGGAATATTACATGATTTTTTTTTAAAACAATGACTGTACATGTTGTGCACAGAATATAGACTCCAAAACCAAAGCTGTTGTCAAATTTTTGTTAGTTATTTGTTTACTTGTTAGATAATGGTATGTTGTGGATAATAAATGGTACTACTACCCACTAAACTCAATGAAACCTCCCCCTTCTTAACGTCCTCCGTCCTCCCAAAGTGGGCCACCTCCCCGTGCGTTTCTTGGCTTCGCGCCCGGCTGGATTGCCGGGCACTACTGCGTGTGTGTGTTTGTTTGTTTGTCCTTCTTTCACGTCGAAACTGAGGGACGGATTGGCGTGATTTTTTGTGTGGAGATAGTTGGAGGTATGGAGAGTGACATAGGCTACTTTTTATCGCAGTAAATTATCTAATTCCCACGGAAAAACACGTTATAATACAATTCAAAAAAAATTACGATCAGAATTACTCGTTTGGTATTAATGCTCTTCAATAAAAGTAAATAAATACGTGTTTTAACATTTTTCGAAATTCATGAAAATGGGGATTAAAGTTTGTATAGGGGAATCAACCCAGGAACGAACCCGAGCGAAGCGAGAGTGAGCCGCTAGTTAGTTATATAGCCATATTTTAAAAGACAATTTCCATTACTTTACTATCAAAAACTATTTTCATCTTCCTTTTCTTAGGATCATTAGCGGTCATAATAAAACAAGAACGCTGTAAAAAAAATTATATTATTTTATTACAAAGCGTATACTTTAACGAAGTCCACAATCAATTCTGGGGATATCCAAGTTGGATACCAAGAGTCTTTTGTTTCCCAGAACTTCAAAGTTGCTTTACTGTTACGGTTCTTCCACGGTTTGTCGCTACTGTCAGCAAAATCATGTATACCTCCAACGCGAACTCCGAGAGAGATGTAGAACTGTTAGCAAACAATGAAAATAAAGGTTAAGAATGTCCAAGAATTTCAATTTTATATATAAAAGGACTTCGCATGGCATTGTTTGTCATACGATAAAAATCGACGTTTTACCAATGCCTCAAATCTTGAAATAACAATAAATTAACACTTTAGCAGATTTTGTAAAGAATTTAAAGATAGATATAGGAATTATGCTCGTCTCGCTTGGGTACATTTATATTTATATTATATACAGATAGCGTCAAATCATAATGTATTTCATTTTATCCAAATCCATCTTGCAGTTTAAGCGTAGAAGACTAACAAACATATAACACAAAAAAATCGTATTGGCGTTTAAGCAATTTTGTGATAAAGGATTGCTTACAAATTGATCTAATGGTGCCATAACAGATCCTTTAAGCCACATAGCTGCGTGCGGCACCGCATGGTCTCTGCCGCTCGAGTAGAAACCTTCTCCTGGAGTCACATCACCGTAAAGCTCACCATCTACGTACATCTGGATACCGTCTGAGGAATATAATTAATCGTTAAGCAAATGAACTGCTACTTCATAAGTCTGTGAATTATTTATTGTTATGGGTATATTTAAAATATAGTAGTTGTTAGTATGCAGTGTAGACGATTTATTACAAGTACCGTAATGAGATCACTGTAGATATATTAAATTATAATATTTAATATATTAAACTTTGCGCAAGATTTTAACTTATTAACGGCGCAAAATTTCTCTATCCATACAAATATTTTAAAGTTGAAAGCTAAACTTTTTTAAGGCTAGTATAAAAGTTCCAGAAATATCACATTGAATTGTTTCTTTATTGTGAAAGCTTATAGACAATCTAACATAACGCTTAGGCAAGAAGAAATTATATATGTACTAGCAGAACCCCGCGGCTTCGCTCGCGCTAAAACTACAAAAATATCTCTAAAAGGTAGGTTTCATACAAAATTTTATCCTCTATTTTACCTCCTTATAGAATGAATTTCGAAAAATGCTAAAACACGTATTTATTTATTTGTACTGAAGAGTATTAATACCAAGTTTCAAGTAATTCTGATCACAAGTAATTTTTTGGTTGGTATCATAACGTATTTTCCCGTGAGAAAAAAATAATCTCCCGCGAAATATCGCCTAATATATAAGTAGCCTATGCTCTCACTCTCCAGCCCTCCAACTATCTTCACACAAAAAATCACGGTAACTTCTCACTCTGTTTCGACATGAAAAAAGGACAAACAAACAAAAACACTTTCACATGTATAATATTAAGTATGGATAAGCTATAAAATAACTTACTCGGTCTCCAAACTAAAGTGTAGTTGTGGAAATCCTTATTCCAATTTTCAATTCCAACAGTTTCCTTCAAAAGGTATGATCTGTATGGCTCGGTGTCGGAAAGAACTGGTCCTGCGTACAACTTCTTGGCGAATGCTGGATTACCTTTAGCATAGGCTATTCTAATAAGACCTGATTCATATCGTTGACTACCGTACGCGTTATCACGAGGCTCCAAATTGATTTCTGTAAATATGAGTAATACAAAAAGTTGTTAGTCTTGTTGTTTCCTGAATTTTAAATGATGAGGATTGTAAATGTAAAATTTTTCGGATTCTGGATACTTCCAGGGACAGAGTGGTTCCAGATTTTTAAATATTAAAATATGTATGTTGTAGAACTACCAAATATTTTAGGCAAGATCCTAATAGTTAAGTTATTTCTTGAACATTATTTTAGGCTACAGCGTTTCCGAATTAAACCAAGAATTAAATATACTAGCAAAAATGATAATTTTAAAAATTTACATACGTGAAGACCGGGTAATTCCAACAAAACTTGCGCCGAAAATTTCAATAACAATAAGAGAGAACTGTAAAAATTATATATATATATATATATATATATATATATATATATATATATATATAGATTTTATTTACCTGGTATTAACCAGCAGCCCGCTGGCACCTTTGCGCGTACTTCAATTTTGCCAAATTTAAAGTTGAAGTGATTTCGAGTCGAGACCTTTCCAGTGATTGTTGGTGGCAGAATTTGAGCTCCCGATGCCTTTTGAGTGCACTCCCTCGAACCCAGTTTTCCTGTACATCTGATATATCTCAACACATTAGCATTTTTTAATTGTCAACTTCATTTAAAGAGATTCAGCGTAGTCCATACCACCATTTAAATAATATATTGTATTAATCCAACCTTTTTTTTTTTTTTTTTTTTAACGTTGGGAAATGCATTTACGCACGACGTGTGGGACTCACCGGCGTAATACAGCCAGTACTACCCACTAAAACCCAACAAAACCTTCCCCCGTCTTAATGGGGCGTCGCAGGATCGCTTGCGCATTCAACTACGACGCCCCGACGGCAGGTCTGCCGAAGCAGACCACCACAACCATGGGGTTGCTCCACAGTCCACTCTGCTATCAGAGAAGTACCAGGAGCAACCCGCATGGTACACCGCCCCCCAAAGAGGGCCACCTCCCACCGCCCACCGAAGTGGGCAACCTCCCTGTGCGTTTCTTAGCTTCGCGCCCGGTTGGATTGCCGGGCACTACTGAGCCCCCCCACCACGACAAGGTGAACGCACGTTGGGGGGGGTATTAATCCAAGCTAAATGAATCCAAAATATTTTGCTATATATTAAAAAATATATGGGCTTGAATGAAATGGATTCAGAAATTAATTTGAAGTTAAATTTGGTTTTTACAATTAAATTATTCTTTGAAATATTCAATTAAAATTTAAATATACAATTTTCAATACCGTACTCCCAGAAGTAAAATACGTATATTTATAACACGGAGGTATGTCAATTACATTCATAATCTGACGACACGTTCTGCTTAGTTTGTTATGGCTCAGTTACTTGCTGTACCAGCGAGCGAAGGTTCGAGTCCCGCTGGTGGCATACTTTTGTGCGATGAGAAAATATATTTGATATTTACATTTAAAATATCTATGTATTTAAAATTATATGTGTAGTATATCAATTATCAACCATCTGGTATCCATAACACAAGCGTCGTAGCTTACCATGGAACTAAACGGTGCTTTGTGTTAATGTCGTGGTTACTGACTACTACTGGATTAAGTTTAGCCACGGTAATATTACATACAGTATTCCATCTTCATACAAACGGTTGGAAATCGAGTTATGCCTACGCGCGTCGCATTCGGTATACACTCGGTAGACAACCGCGCGGGGCTGCCACATCGTATAATCGGATACGAAAATTGTATAAGGTGGTTATGTTATGTAACTTTTATAATTTGATACAAAAATTAACATTTTATTCGTCCCGTAATATCGCTAATGTCAAACAAAAAAGTATCGAGACATCGTATGTTTTAAAAATGAAAATGAATTAATTAAATTAAAAATAAAAATTAAAGTATTTTTAATTAAACTTTTTATCCGAATGCGGATTCTTTATACTAATCAATTTAACAATAAAGCTTTTCGTACGTCTCAGTCGAGGCACAAATATTTTTAAATCTCAAATTTGTAGGAGTCACATACAATCCTTATAAATTTGAGATATTTTAATTAAATCTACTAATAATAGTTTTTAAATAAAAAATATAATATTTGATACCACAAAATTAGAAAGAAACTCAAGTAGATAGATGAAATTAAAATACTGGCCGGCGGGCAGCCCTGTCGCGTGGGTAATTATTTCAAGGACAGGCCCGAGTTGCAATACTGTATGCATTACATTACCGTGGTTTAGCGATTCAGATGTGAAAACATTACAAGAAGTGCATACACTCTATTAGTCCTAATGTACTGCTTTTTTTTTGTAGAATAAAGAATATACATTTTATACTTATAATCTTAGCAAAGTGTACTACTTACGTGTTTGTTAAATCCCAAGTGCCTTCGTAAAGAAAATCTTCTTGGAAACGTGATTCTGTGAGGCTGGGCATGATTTTTAGTGCACCATCAACTACGCTAACAGCTCCTTCAGCTAAATAGGCGTTAAATGGATAATCCTGTAATAATCAAAGTATAGATTATTAGTAGATGATGTAGCTATATCTGCTGAAAAAGGTATTGACTTTTGTCATAGAAACGAATTGAAAGGTCTGTTTATGCGTTCCGTATTATTATTGCATTAGCAATCGTAAGTGAAAAGTAGCCTGCCCACCAACTATATTACAAACTAGCGATTCACAATCGCTTCGCTCGGGTCCGTTCCTAGCTTGATTCCCCATCTAAACGCTCTTCCCCATTTTCTCTCCCTTAAGGAATGATTTCCGGGATAAAAATTCCTGTCCTTCCCAGGGTTTCAAACTATTTTTTTACCAAATTTCATCTAAATCGGTTCTGTAGATCCAGAGGTTAGCCCCTACAACATCACAAACTCACAATCTCAGAAACTTTACCTCTTTATAATGTAGAAGTATCGTCGTATATTATAAAGAAACAACAAATACGTATTTAATTTTATTATGGAGTACTAAAATTATAAAGTATTAAGTTATTATTAATCTACTATTTAAGAATGTTAGAAGAGTACTCGAAATTATAACTAGTGTTTGCTCAACTATCAAATTTGAGGAAAACATATAAATTTACATTTTTTCTTTTCTTTTACTCGTACATTCATTTATTGTATATCTGAGAATATATAGTTTTATATATAACTAGCGGCACACCCTAGCTTCGCTCGGGTTCATCCCTGGCTTGCTTCCCCATACAAACTTTCATCCCCATTCTCACCCCCTTAAGAGATGATTTCCGGAATAAAAACTATTTCACTCACTCACTTTTCATATCATAATATTTAAAAATTCTTATTTTAGTAAAAATTCTTTTAATTTTCTTCTATACAAAAATTGCCCTGACAATAACAAACACAAAAAAAAGAATTATCCAAATTGGTGCAGTCGATCAAAGTTATGCGTGTACAAACATTTTGGGGATTCATTTTTTTTTATTTCATTTTTTATTATTTATATAGATAGATTACAATACAAAACATTTCAATACCATTATAATTAAACTGATCATATAAAAACTGATTCCAATTTTTTTTCAATAAGACTAAAGCTCGTCAAGAAATAAAAAGAAATGAGAAAATAATCTAGTAATATATGTCTTTGCCTATTTACTACATCCATATATAATATAGATATTATATATTAATCAGTGGCTCGTACTTTTAATTCCAAGACTGCGTGTATGTTACCCTAATGAAGATAATATTAAAGGCTAATCAAATCGTTTCACTTTAAAAAATAAAAAATAATAGGGTTAATGACAATATGGATAGTGAGAAAAATATCTAAAATAAATTATGAGTCTGTGTTAATATTCATTATTTCTTCACACTATGATAACATACTTGAATTTGAATAAAACTTTGATTGGAGATGGCGAAGGAAGCTATGCTTGAAAATAAGTCAAAATTATAAAACATTGTAATATAAAATGTCTATTAGTGATCTATACTTACAGGTTCTTGAGGGAACATGTTTTCTGCTTCCCAATTTGAGAGACTCTTTAGGTCAGGTTTACTAAAGTCTTCACTGAAAATAAGTGATCCCTGACACACGCCTTGGAGGCCTTGTACAGAAGTTTGAGAGCGGAGGCAGTTAGGAACCTGGGTTACAGGAGCAGACGTAGGCCCAGGACCTGGTCGAGGTGTCTCAATGGGTATCACATTACCGTCCACAGGTTTACCTTCCTCGTCGACAAACTCTGAAAATTAAGGCGCAAATATTTAACTGTTATCCTTTTTCTAATCGGTTTTGGGCACGTCGGCCAAACTCACTGAAATTAGTCATCTGCGCAGGAGCTACTTATTATAGTGCACAAGTGTGCAAGCAGACACAATTGCACTCTCTCTTTCTATCACTCTCAATTTCTGATGGGACAACAATTCAACACGATCGATTAGATATCACGTTTAGCACCGATGGCTTTCCATGCTCTCCGAGGTACAAGGGTTGAAACGTTGTCAATTTCTCAACTCCGAACCGTTACTGAGAGTTTCTTAACAGAAAAACTGTATAAGTGAATTTGTCCCGACCCGGGATAAAAACCCAGTACTTCAAAACATACATACTGGCAAATATCTATTAAATCACTAAGGCAGTTCCGATAATACTGCCTACGAGTACGTAGCTACCTGCAAGTTTATTTTGTGGAAACAACAAAAACGGTTTTATTTTTTGTGTTTGAGAGCTTAACAAACATAATGTTATTGACATTGCACAGAATTTATTTACTATATAGTCGTGTATAAGACATACAAAATATGCTTATAATTTGCAACACAATAATTAATATTAGATCTTGTAAGCTTTTCTCAAGTCGAATTACGGCTGTCATTTTTTTTAACTTTTTTCTCTCTTACAATCCATAATCATTTAATAATTTAAACCAGATTAATTCTTTGTTTTAGCACAAAAAGTTTGCACTCCATTAAAATTAAGACAAAAACTATACCTATATAATTTGAATCTACATACCTGTCACAGTCCATTCTCCATTATCCTGCCTATAACCTAAGCCATTTTTAATAACGTAGGTCCAAAAATATATTTTATCGCCCAATTTTAGTTCAGCGTTCCGATCTCTAAAAACCCAGACTCCATTTTTGGGTTTGGTGACGTCTCGCGCCCATTGACCAGCTTCTAAGCCTTCCATCTCCTGATTAAGGTTTCCATGGAAAGCGAATAACGAGAAGCCATCATCTGTAATTTTATAAGAATACATGAATAGATTATAAATTTTGTCCCATTTTTTTCTAATATAATAATACCAGGGTGAATTTTTATATAATGTTAATGAGGCAACACACACTGAGCCCAAGATCGTCTTAAAAAATTAAATGCAGTTATCATTATTTTTTACCACTTGTATTATTGTAAAGGAAAACATCGTGAGGAAACCTACATGTCTGAGAGAACCTAGCAGTTTTTAAAAGACATGTGAAGTTCGCCAAACCGTACTTGGCCAGCGTGGTGGACAATGGCCCGATTCCCATCGTATTGAAGGGAGGCCCGTGCCCAGCAGTGGGACGTTAAATAAAGGACTGAATACATAATTATCTTTTAAAATAAAATAATGTTTACTTTGAGAATAACTTGATAACTTTAACATTTAATGTACTTTTCTTCCACGTCCCATCCATTTGTTCTACTCTGTATATAAATAGGCAAAGACAAAACAGTTCAGGGCCTTTTCCTCCTCTGTCTGTCAACCGATTTTCTTTTTTTTGTTTAGTAATCTATTAAAAAGCTTTAGTGTTACCAGTAAATAAAATTGGAATCAGTTTTTTTATATACATATGTAAATTCTATTCATATATTATGTTTTCCTTAAATATTCAATAATAAAATCAAATTTAGGTACGTTTTGACGCTTAATAATATGAAATAGATTTTTTTCAATTTTTTTTTCATGAATTTTTCCGATTATTTTGGTATTCGGGGTAAAGACAAATCCAACAAAACAAAGATGATAAAAATCGATCTAGTAGTTCTCGAGTTATAAGTGTTGTAGCAAACCTGACTTTGTTATATATATATATATATATATATATATATATATATATATATATATATATATATATATATATATAAAGGGATATATATATATATATATATATATATAAACCATCATATATATATATATATATATATATATATATATATATATATATATATATGATGATTTTGGCTGAATTTTGACCACTGGACGTACACTAATACTACAACAGCGTAATTCCGGACCCTTGCTATAAAGAAGAATGAATAAGTAATAAAATTTAATGTTCAGTCCACTTAGCGTGACTCCCCGTTATTATAACATTTGTAAGGATCACCTTTCCAATCAAAAAGCCATTAAAATTTTTCAATTAGTTTTTGAGTGGTGTGAGATGAAACACAAAGTAATCATAGTCGTCCAAATATTTTAGATTGTAATTATTAGTCTAAAGACTTATAATTCCACCATTAACATTTATTCATGTAGATAATAATTTCATGCAATATTCATATTTACGTAATTTATTCAAAAAAAATATAATTGAACGGTATATTTTTTCAAAATTACTTTTGAGTTTCTTTCGCCTATGTCGCTCAGGAATGTGACGTGTGATAAAAAAAATGTACTCATTATATATTTTTTTATTTGAACAGTTATTATTTTAAGTATCATCATTAATTTTTCAATAATTTATCATATTTTAATTCAGTTATTTATGATTTAAGAATTTACTCATAGCTAGAGAAACCTCTAGAAAAAACAAAAATAAATCTATCCCACAAGAACCATACATTTTCCGGGAAAAAAGGTAGATTATGTGTTATTCTGATGTATGAGCTATATTATTGTAAAGTTTCATTAAAATCCATTCAGTAGTTTTGGAGTGGAAGAGTAACAAACATCCATACATTTGACGATACGTTAGTTCAGTTTGCTTTGTTGTGATTCTACTTGCTGTGCCAGCGGTCGCGGGTTCGAGTCCCGCTGGGGGCATTCATTTGTGTGATGAGCACGAATGTTTGTACTCCAGTCGTGGGTGTTTGTATTTATTATATTATGTATGTATTTAAAAATTATATATATGTAGTGTATCAACTATCTGGTATCCATAACACAGGTCTCGTAGCTTACCATGGAACTAGGTGGCGCTGCGTGTTAATGTCCCAACATATTATATATACATTCATACATCCATACATCCTGACAAACGTTTGCTTTTATAACATTAGTAAGAATTATGTAAGTCTTTTGTATCTTATAAATAATATGTAACTTCAAAAAAGTATATGAATAAAATTATTATTATTATTTGTATCTCTTTGGAATTCACAAATTATTATTATTATTTATCATTAAAATAAATAAGCTTTATAATAAAGCTCCAAAAGCTTTGGCGCTTAGCAATTCAACAAGTTTTTGTGTGAACCTGTTTTAGAGAAGCGGAGATGTTGTAATCTAATAATTTATTTTCAGTTCAATGTACGCTCAATGATGATAATAATAAAAAGTGGTAGGAACAACCTATGTATATTGATTATACATGTAAATTGTTGCCTACAGCCTCGTTGAGATAAGTATGCTTCAGAAACAATTTATTTAAAACTAGTGACTTGCCCCTGCTTTGCTTGTATATAAAACAGTTATTGTAAAAGTACTTTAGCATATACGACATATCGTAGACACATGCTATCGCCGGCATTTTTATATACAACAAACTTTTCTTTAATCTTTAAACAATGTACTAGAATATTGTAGGCCTTTTTAAGGCATATCTTAATGTTTAGCCAGTGTTAGCCAAAGAGTACAAAAATAGATTAAAAAAAAACGTCATAGTTCAGCCATTTTGTACAAAATATTTACAAATTATATACAAAACCTTTCTCCTTTAACGATATTTTAAGTTAAAAAGGTATCAAAATCCGTTCCGCTTAGAAGAAGTAAGCGGAGAAACAGACAGAGGCAAACAGCGACTATGTTTCAAGAACTCAGCCGAATCAGTTATTATGTTTTCCATGGGAATGAGAGATTTTCCTGTAGTTTTTACTACTCTTAAAGGTTGACTGGAATAATAAATTATCGCTATTTTTAAATAAAACTATGTTTTCGGATTTTTTCGCGAATTTATTTTGATTTTTGGTTCCCGACGTTTCGAATGCTTTACAGCAATTACAGCGATTCGAAACGTCGGGAACCAAAAATCAAAATAAATTCGCGAAAAATCCGAAAACAGTTTTATTTAAAATGTCAAGTATTTGCGTAAATCTAAGAAATTATCGCCGCACAAAGTTTAGATCAAATCCGTTCAGTAAGCTTTACGTGAAATGCACACAGACATACAGAAAAATTTCAACAGCTATTGTTTTGGGGTCTATGTATATTCTGTACACAACACGTAGCAGTTATTGTATTAAAAAAATATTTCAAATACAGATTTCGATTTGTTTTATTATATTATGTATAGACAAAATTTAACTATAGAAACAATAATAGATGAGTATCTATATATTGTTTGCTAGTAGGAGATATCGCTTCTGGTTTTCCATGATTTATAGGCTATATGCACTGTTATCAGTAGAACAATTTATGCTTTCAACAATTGTTATATTCTGTACTCTTGAAAGACCATATACATTATTTTATGATCTGTCATCACATATTATATTGTACGTCTGTCCGTGTGGAAGCTACCACCGGGTCGGAAAGCAGTTCTACTGAGAACTACTGACGAGAAACTCAACAGTTTTTATTTTAAATAATGAGTTACACAATTTATAATAATAATTTACAGTTTTACAAACAATCCCTGACTAGTCACTCTGTCATGTAGCAATATACTCTATGCACTCTGTGCAAAAGCGCGGGAAAGCAAATGAATATCCGCGTCCTTTTTATTTTTTTAAATAGATTCCTATCGGCCATGGTCACATAACTGAATGCCATATATATACATATATATATATATAAATTATTACAAATTAATCAAAAATATTATTTTTAATTAAACACTCATATATAAAAATGCAACCTTACACTATGATTTATAGTGTAAAATGAAACTAATGTTCATATTATGTTTTTAATTTTTATACATAAATAGAAGCTGTTTATAGGAAAAACCGGCTTATTAAGCGAATTTTTGAACTACACATCGGAATAAAAAATGAGGAAAACGTTTACAAAAATGATAATAACTAATGTATTATTCTATAATTATTGTTGAAAAATATTAAACAAATATTATGCTACGTTAAAAAAATCTATACTAATATTATAAAGAGATAAAGTTTGTGTGTTTGTGACGTTGTAGGGGGAATCTCAGAATCTACTGAAGCGATTTAGATAAAATTTGGTAAGAAGATAGTTTGAGACCCTAGGTACCTAGGACATAGGATACTTTATATCCCGGAAGTCATGAGTTAAGGGGGTGAAAATGGGGATAAAAGTTTGTATGGGGAACCAAGCTAGGGACGAACCCGAGTGAAGCAAGGGTGAGAGTGTTATATAAAGGTTATGCTCAAACTTACTAATAAAAAACTTTGAAATGTAACTGTATTGTCATCATATAAAATTAAATCATAAAAATAAATTATTTAAATACACCAATAGAACCAATTGCGAACAGATTTTTATGATTTTTTGAAAGTTTGTGAAGATTATTGGACAGAATTTCCTACGCTTAATTTGCATGCATTGGTGTAAAACTAATATCATATCCTGGGTCAATTATATTTTTTTATATGGTTTCCATAGAAGATTATATATAGTTCAACTTAAATAGTCTTTATATAACGCTTTAGTTTGAACTTATTAACAGATGGTGTTCAAAAATATTAAGAAAAAATACATTTTTGATGCGGTCAAAGCCACGTGCAGAAATGAGTGTATTATAATTGACACCAAAACATGATAGAGTTGAGGAGTTAATATTTAACAAATTGGTGAAAAAGATAAACTGTTCCGACCCTCGTCACTTGTAACATGACCGTTCTAAGTGTCAAAAACACATGAGCTAAAAATATTTTAGAATATATATAGATATAGAACCTCTTGCACTAAATTCTTATTTTCATTTAAATGTCATAACGACGTTTAGAAATACTATGTGTTACCTGTAATAATATAATACGTAAATCCAGCGTTTTCTTAGAATAATTACGCGAATATTTTTTCGATTGCTTCTCAGTTTTATTTTAAATTTATTTATTTTTTAATTGCCCACGTTTCGGACGTTTTCCAGCAAACGTGGTCAAGGAGACTGAACGAAAAAAAAACAAAATTCCCGATATAACCGCGATAAAATAAAAAGAAATAGTATAAAGGAAAGATTCTTTTCGAAATTGCATAAATCACGTCGATTCTCTTTCTTGCGTTATTTATACATATATGTACTGGAAAGTTATTTAGTATCGGCAAAAAATAGGCAATGTTAATAACCATTAACACAAAGGTTGTAGGTTCGATGTTATACATTGAAAAACTAAACAAGTCTTTTCTATATCCATATGTTCTTTGGTAACATTGAGGACACCGAGACATAAAGCGTTTTACTATGTTCATTCGTATGAAAGACGTAAATAGCGTATCCAATTTTTACAATAAAATTCAAATATGTTTGTAAAAATTATATTATCAGACCGTTCCGAACAATTCTGGCCATTTGTTTTTTTATTATCTGTCATTCATTATTTTATTAAGTACATGCGAGCGACTTTTTTTTAAATTATCGCAATTGTAGTCATCTAATAGAAAGCACCTTCCATACTTTTTATGCAAATAAAAAAAAACAATTTGAAGGGAACATAAATAAACTTTATAATGATGTCTCAATAAATGTTTTTGGTAAAGTATTAAAAGATTATAATAATAATGAAGTATTTGGAGAGATATGTTACTTACTTTTAAAAATTAAAATAAAACTCTAAACTTAATTCGATCATGATCATTATTGAAAATTTAATTTTTTCAAACATTTATACGTTCTCGTTATATTAATTTGTTATTATTCGTTAATATTATTTGTGAAATAATTATTATTGTGTATGTTGCCTAGACCATTGACATTAAAAATATAATAATAATAAGATAAATGAAATTGAAGTGTCTGTTTGTAATATCAATATAAACAGCTTTTTACTAAATGCATATGAAATTATACATATACGGTACTTATAAGAAAAACACAATCTTTCTGCGTGTTAAGACTAATCTCCGAAACGGCTGGACTGATTTTGACGGAAATTTCACTGGCAGATAGCTGTGTTCTAAGGAGTAACTTAGGCTACTTTTATTTGAGAAAAATTATTAGAGTTCCGCTCAAAAAATTTAAGACGTGCAGGAGGGTAAGTCGCTAGTGCGAAATATAAGATTTCATTTTTTTATAATTGTTTTGTAATGATTCGAAAAAAATGTAGCTGTTTCTTTTAACATTTTTCAACGGTAATTTTTTTTATTGATAACATTAAAGCTCGTTAATGATTAGTAAAAAAAATGAAATGGGTGCGTGTAACCTTTACGCGCGGTTGAAGTAAAACTTCTTTGGCAAATATTGCAATTAAATTAAAACAAATCTAAAATCGGTTGACAAACAGAGAATAAAAAGGTACTAAGTAGTTTTGTCTTTGCTAATTTATATATACATAGACTAGCATTGCCCGCGGCTCCGCCCGCGATAAGGTGACCAAAAAGCAAATTCTTAGGTTTTACATATTAGTACCAATACTCTTACAATGCATTTTTTGTATTTTTTCTCAGAAATGAGATATTTTCCCGCGGTAAAAAGTACCCTATAAGTGGACCCGGATAACCAGCTCCCTCGCGTGGTTTTTCTGTGATGCGGTATCAAACAGACAGACAGACAAAAATTCTAAAAACTATAGATTCGGCCTCTGTATCGATAATAATGTCTAATTCAATAAGCTTTTCCAAAAAATATTTAATGTACAGATTCGACTTAGTTAGAATTTTAATATATGTATAGATAGATATCATAATGTTTATTCGAGTAGGTTTCGAAAAATAAGAATTCGACAGTCAATAATATATTATTCGTTGTATACCAAAGTACCGATTGGACAGGAAAATATAAAAAAGTTAAAACTCGATATGCTACCACCGGTTACACGGGGTCATAATCGTTATAAAAAGCTTTATGTTTAAATATAATAGCAAGACCCTAATATAAAATATTATTTGTGTTTTTATAATTTATCAAAGAGAACTTCTTATAAATCGTACAAGTATAATAGTATTATCTCTTTGGTATAATAGTATTAAACTGCCTCGGTGGTGTAGTGGCTAGCATGTACGGCTGCACACTCGGAGGTCCTAGGTTCGAGTCCCGGGTCGGGCCAAGTTTAGTTATTGAGTCTTTCTGTATAGTAAGTCTCAGTAACAGCCCGGAGTTGGGAAGTTGGCGGTGTTTAACCCCCGTGCCTCGGAGAGCACGTAAAGCCGTCGGTCCTGCGCCTTAACTCTCACTGGTCGTGTCGAGCAGTCGTCCCACCGGAGTATGAGAGTGACACGAATAGAGAGAGCACTTGTGTCTGAGCGTATACTTGTGTACTATAATATCTCCTGCGCAGTTGGCTAGTCTCAATGAGAATGGCCGCCGCAGCCGGAATCGGCCAGGAGAACATCATCATCATCATCATTATATCTTTGTGAAAATTATGTTAGCAGGCCCTAGGATAAAACGGGACGGCGATATAAAGCTGCGGATCGCTGGACGCAGAAGAACGACTTAACTCGCGTTACGAAGCGCATATTATATTGTCGGGTTACCACTCTGTGTGTAGTATCTAATAAACCTATAATTAAGTACATTCCACTCTTTAATTTAGTCTCTGTAGGGTGGTCAGTTTTCCCTATCACGAAGTGCCCAGGGAACTGTCCCAATGAAAATAAAACTTAGCAGAATAGCACAATTATGAAATAAATGATTTATATTTAGAGATAGTTAATGATAATGTTTAATAAGATTTTATCATTCATTCGGTTTCAAATTCAAAATCAAAATATTTTATTCACCATTAAAATATTTTTTTTTACTGAACGTCATGAGTCTACTACCAGTTCGGAAAGAAGAATAATAAATAATAAGCCTCAGACTTGAGAAGAACTGGCGAAAGAAACTCAGCGGGACTAATATTAACTCGTTATCTTTTTTTTATGTAATTCCATAAATCCCATAAATATTATAAAATGTGAGTGATAGTTTGAATGGATGTTTGTTACTCAATTACGCCAAAACGGCTGAATGATTTGAATGAAATTTGGCACAGGGATAGATTATAGTCTGGAATAGCACAGGTTACTTTTTGTGGAATATTTTATTTTGTTTTTCACTAGGGTTGAACCCAAGCAAAGCGAGGGTGAGTCGCTAGTAAATAATAAAAGTATGTTATCGATATAATACTTATTTTTAGATTTTCGGAACTTTATGTTATGATTTTGAATAGCATGTATATAATATAAAAAAATATTTTAATTATACGATTGGGGTGTCTAAACATATAAGTGTCAAGTGGAAAACAAAAAAAAAATGTAGGTAGTATATAAACAACATATACTCGTATTTAACAATAACAATGACAAAAAATGAAGGCCTTTTATGATAGAAATAATAAATCGTAATATCTTACCTGGGACGGACACTCTTAGTCCCTTGGGATAAATGGCTTCCAGCTTCGCAGGGGGTACAGTGTAAGCGTTCACTTTGATGAAGCATAATGCCGCCAAAATAATAATATTATTTTTTCCCATCGCGACGTCCGTCTGTTAGCAAAGACCGCTACAGACTGAGGTACAGTTGCTTCTTGAGGTCTTGACTCTCGAGACATTTAGATTGCGCTTGCGCATCTGTAAAGTATTAAAAAAATGGAATAAGTAAGATTAAAACATATGAATATTATTTATAATTATAAACAAGTATAAAGAGCAGGGTTCCATAGATATTTGAAATATTAGAAGTGACTATATACATATATATATATATATATATATATATATATATATATATATATATATATATATATATATAGTATATATAGTAGTATGGCCTATTTAAAACAAAGAATATGAAAAGGCCTTCTACATCAAAAAAATCTTCATATTCTTTTTATTGGGGATTAACTGCCAAAAAATTTCAAAACTATATCAATGATAAAAAATATTTTTATAGCTACCGGATACTGTATAAACAAATAAGCAATAAAGTAATTTCTAAATATTTGCGAAAGGAAAAGATGGAATCAAATGTGAAAAGACCAGCAGTGCCGCTTTTGTCCCTCTAGGCTAATACCAATGGTAAGTGACAGTTTTTATTGACAAAAAATGTATTAGTCTTTGGTCCTACTCGGAACTCGAATCTGGACTACATGGCCTCATGAATATACGTATAAATCCTGATAATATACCGAACATTAGATCAACATATTAAATAACATTCCTGATTTACATCTACATTTATTAATTTTAAATATATTATTAGTTCTATTCTCAGTGTTAATAGCTCTATGGTCTCATACTGATGACCGCTGGTTTTTCCGGTTGTCACTTAAGATTGGCATGTACTTTGACACTGATACAAGATTTTCCTTAAGAAATATGTTTATGTTCATTATTTTTTGTGTCTGGCGTTATATTAATTATATAATAATAATAACAAAATTCGCGCCAGTGACTGAAAATTTGAAACAAAACTAAGTTTTTTGATTTGATATTGTTAAAAATGTTATACAAATATTTATATTTTATTTATTACTAGCGATCCATCCTAGCTTCATTTAGGCTTTCAATACACTTCATGCTTCTCCGATTATTTATCATAAGCTTTATATTATTTATTATTATTTAATATTTTTTTAGGCTTCTTAAATCTCCTTTTCTGAAGTTGGTTAAAATATAATCAAAAGCTCTATTAGTAATTATAATTAAAGTTTTTGAGCAACTAAACTACTAAGAACTATTACAATAAAGATGAAATACATTAATATTCGTATTTTCTGTAATTCCCTCTTAGAGGAAAAATTCTTTTATGACATCAACATCACTTTCTTACTTAAAGCAGCAAGTTTCTTACTTTATGCAGCACGTTTCGAGAAACATTTCAAGAGGAACACGCCTTTCAAATTGCACGTCAAATACCATTATAGAAATAAAATGTATTATTTTCGATTTTTTATTAAAAATTTTACTGTATTATGTTATATTGTATATTATAGTGTATTGTACATATGTATAGTGTAATTATGTATTAGTGGAAACCATATGACTTTCTAAAATTTAGATTTGATTATGATACTTGGCCAATGACTTTTATTTTATCACCGGCGGAAATCAAAAACAAATCTGTCCCACGGGAACCGTACATTTTTAAAAAGTAGCCTGTGTGTTATTCCAGACTATAATCTATCTTCTATAACTTCATCCAGATCCGTTCAGCCTGGCGTGAAAGAGTAACAAACCATCTATGCTCACAAACTCACATTTATAATTTAATACGGATATTAGTAACTTTGTTCGGTAATCTAAAATCATAAAGAGGTAAATTTTGATCACTAAAACTACTTATCCGATTTCAGAAATTCTTTTACCAAATTTAGAATTGACCTTTGGGGTGGATATAAGCTATATGTTATAACTTATACCGTTAAAATAAAAGGGCACGTAAATACCATATTTGTAATGAAACTCAGCGGAAAAAATGAAAATAAATCGAGACTCGCGCGAAAAGTTTTCTATATATACGATAATAGAACGTAATATATTTTGTGGACATTTTAACAAACGGCTAAAACATGGACTAAAAGATATACAACCACTTAAAGACAGAATAAACCAACCTTTTAATCTAGATATTTATAATCTAGAGCATTTGCATTTGATCGGTTTCATTCTTTTTATAATATATATAGGCGATATAAAGGCTTAGAAATGAACTGGTATTAATGGTAAAGTAAATTTTTGAAAAAGTCATTAAAACTGCAAAATTTGGACTTAACTTCCAAAGTTTTCCAAAAAATTAAAAACTGCACTTCATTATCGGCAGTAAAACAAGAGTTGCAAGCCTAAAACTTTCCAAATTACGTGAGCGATGTTGCTAGAGAAAAAATGTGAGCGATGTTGCTAGAGAAAAAATAACTTTTCGGTTGGACAATAAAGTCACTTTTTAATAAGCAAAAGTGTATTAACGATGTTAATGAAATTTGGCATTTGTTCTCATATCGGAAATATTGCTAAGTTACATATTAAAAACGATGTTGATGTGTGACAGGAATAAATCAAAATTCTAGTAAACCACCCTTACTTCACTCAGATTGAGATTGAAACTAGATATTATGTACATACATCCTGTGTTCTAAGAAATCATCTAAATTAGTCGCTGTCATTTTTCTTCTTAGCCCGAGAGCTGGTGACGAATTTTGGGAGGGTCCTTTTGGCAAGTTGAAATTGTGAAATAACATAATTTCGTCAATTGGCGAGTCCAGTCCCGCGAGTCTGGTATACATAGTGTTTGCGGTTATTTCGTTACTGCGCAGTATATAACATTTGCAAAAAAAATATCAAAAAAAACATATTCTCATCCGTCTGTCTGTCCGTCTGTCATCAGGCTGTATCTCATGAACCGTGATAGACATGAAATTTTTACAGATGATGTATTTCTGTTGCCGCTATAACAACAAATACAAAAAATAGAATAAAATAAATATTTAAGGGGATCCCATACAACAATCGTGATTTTTTGCCGTTTTAATATAATTAAAAATGTATAAAACAATAAATAAAATTAATTCTCAATTTTAAGAAAAAAAACAAAAACAGGCCAAGTGCGAGTCGGACTCGCGCATGAAGGGTTCCGTACCATTTTCTATATTTGATATTTATATTGATATTGATAATGAGAAAATTATGCTCATTATCAGTATTTACTAAATATTCATCTTCGTGACAAAATTATTTAAAACATTTGAATGTGAGAGTTAATTTATCAATTACATATTATATTCTATGAGTGCTTCGGTGGTCTAGTGGCATGTACTTATTGTACAGCTGCAGATCCGAAGATCCTGGGTTCGCTTCCTGAGTCAGGCCAAGTTTAACTATTGAGTTTTTCAGTTAAGAAATTATCAGAAGTTGGAGAGCATGTAAAGTAGCCGTTGTCGTCTTAAATCTCATTGGTCGTGTTGAAGTATCATCCGATCGGACTTTAACAGTAAAAATGATTAGAGAGGACATTGTTATCATATTATACAGTTTTTCACATTAATATTCGCAATATTTGTACTCCCATGCAAATAATGTCGATTTTATTAGAAAAAAATTGACGACGTAAAAACGAAATTTATTGTGTGTTCAAAATTTATATCAAAATATATCCAAAATTTACATTAAAACTTGAAGCAATACTATAAAAAATGTTTTAAAAGAAAACGATATGGCATATGCATATTACAAGACGTCCACGATAAACAATAGCATTCCCAAGGAGGGTTGACGTCAGGCAGGCGGCCGGTCGTAAAACTTTTGCCAAATCCTTTCAGCAGTACAGAAGATGTACTGCGCCGACCCCAAGTGATTGGGAAATGGGCAGGGAGATGATGATGCAAGTAAAGACAGAAAAAAAACATTAATTACTTAGTATTAGGTATAACATTCGAGAAATAAATACATGAAACAAATGAATGGTCATTTTGAAAGCGATTTCAACTCCAAGAATCTAAATCTAACGCACTATTTAGAAAATGATTGTCAATTATTGCCTTGATATTGTAAGCAAAATCCAATATTAAGTATTGTGTGGATGAATCTTTAAGGTATGGAATGTTTTTTAAGAGTAGCCAAAAAGGAAAATTGGTAGTAAATCTATTGCCAGCTCATTCTTAGAAACCGATTAGCAACAAATAAAACGATGATTTATACTTGGCACTAACTCACAACTAGTTTTCATTGTTTATAACCAGTTGAAATATGTAGGAAAATAGTTTATTTTGTTATGTAATATAAATAAGTTTCAATGGTTATAAATTATTAAATAATAGTATCGATATGACGTCGATTTTACGTTATATGTACTTAGTGTACATTTGTATGTCTGGCGGTTTGTGGAAGTTTTCTATCGGCAATATAGACACAAGCTTAAATATCTTATCATACTTACTATGTTTATAACGACAGTGATTTTTATAAAAAATTTATAAAAATAATTTTTAAATATTTAAAATTAAAAATTTTATAATTCATTTATAAAAGCTCATCATCGTTTTATAATAAGGAACTTTTAAGCAAAATGCCCAGCTTCTGGATCCAGCTGTTACAGCTGTGATTTAGTTTTTCGAACTATCTGTCTGTCTGGGAACGTATCACGAGAAAAGTACTGGACAGATTTTGATGACATTTGGTATAATAATAGCTGGTTATCCGAGTCAAGATAAAGGATACTTTTTCATTTCTGTATGTATACTAACCGTTAAAACGTATAGATAAAATACATCTTTTGGCTTTTAAAATAAATGGCGGTGTATTTTATACCAATAGCATTGACATTTAAAATTAAAGTCAATAATTCTGTACTAAAAACTATTTTGGTAAATTGGTATTTTGAACAAATAAGCACTGAGACGACGAAACGCATTTCAATCATATTGTCGTTGAAAATATTTCCATAAATAAAGCATTTTTGTTTTTATATAGATATATAACAGTTAAAAGTGTAGATATGTTTAATTTCATATGGACGTTCCATGTTTTATCACAATGCTACGTTTCGAACTTTTCAATTATCCGCGGTCACGGGCCAATAGAAGGCTGTGAGTCACTATTTTTTTTCAAACACTATTCTAGGTATTTCATATAAATCCCAGTTATAATAAATAGGCTTTTTGTCTGCAGCTTTGCGTAGTTGATACATATATATATATATATATATATATATATATATATATATATATATATATATATATATATATTATGTTATTGATATTGTTCATTCTAAAAGGTGTGGGTAGAAGGGTGAAAATACTTTACGACCTATTCTCATACCTACCAAATATGAAAAAAAATCATTAAAAGCAGTAGAGCCGACTTTGAAAATATCTAATTATGTATCTATTCTAAATGAAAACCCCCGTTTAGTTATTTTTTACATTTTGGAAGTTGGTTTTTTTTTAAGTTTTTGTTTTCCATTTCCACCATTTTCCAAAAATATATTATACGGCTAACGCTAGCTAATAACTATTTATATCTATATAGAACGTACCTAGCGACTAACCCGAGCGAAGTAGGGTAAGCCGCTAGTACTAAATAGTTATTATAGTTAAGTGAAGCTACTTGAAGCAAGTAAAATGCTATCAGCTTGATAAATATATACGACGACCGACGTAAAATATGAATCAAATTATGTTATGTCATACATTAAAACAAACATAACATGTTAGGAAATAGTAAATAACAAATTTTGAGGTTGTTATTGTAGGCAAATGTTTTCTCAGTTTTGACGACCCGACTTATATATTCAGGTTTCATTATGAAATAATATTTTTATTGAGTATACAAATATGAAAAGCATTAATTTTTAATTATTTGTAACACTAGTGACTTATCCTCGCTCCGCTCGAGTTCGTCCCTACTTACATTTTAACGTTTAGTATAGATTTCTTATAGATGAGATATTTTCCCGCAGTAAAAAGTAGCCTATATGTTGACCCGAATAACCAACTATCATCATACCATACCATCATACCAAATTTCATAAAAATCCCTCCAGTGGTTTTTCAGTGGTAACAGACAGACAGACGACAGACAGACATAAATTCTAAAAACTATAGATTCGGCTTCTGTATCTATAATAATGACTATTTCAATAAGATTTAAAAAAAAAATAATGTACAGATTCGACTCCAAATTTTATTACATGAATAGATTATGACGTATAGCGCTACATGTACGAGCTTTACTATTTGTTACTATTTTTATTTTATTTAGTTACTAACATTGCCCACGGCTCCGCTCGCGTTCAGACGACCAAAAACCAAATTCTTAGGTTTTACATATTAGTATACTCTTACATTGCAGTTTTTGTATTTTTTCTCAAAAATGAGATATTTTCCCGCGGTAAAAAGTATCCTTTAAGTTGACCCGGATAACCAGCTACCATCATACCAAATTTCATCAAAATCCCTCCAGTGGTTTTTCAGTGGTAACAGACAGACAGACAGACAAAAATTCTAAAAACTATAGATTCGGCCTCTGTATCGATAATAATGCCAATTTAATAAGGTTTTCCAATAAATATTTAATGTACAGATTCAGCTTAGTTACAATTTTATTATATGTATAGATTAATATTCATAGTTATTTATGATTATTTGTTTAGTAGAAATTTGAAAAATTATATACCTAGTCACATATTGTAAATGAATAAAACAAAATTAATAACGTTGAAAGAACTGTAACCTGACTTTCGATTGCAAATGTAATTTTGACGTTGGAAAATTTATTGCTAGTTTACGATCGCAGGCGTATTTAAGTTGATTTTAAATTCGTATGAAATGAGCAATAAATATTGAATTAAACGCTTTTTCACTTTACTTTTCTTCTACGTTTGAGTTTAGAGTTATGTATGTATGTAATGTACGTATGTTAGTTTGTTTGTTTTCGTCGAATACATTTCTTCTAACCAAATTATGAACTAGTTTGTGATTTATAACTGTTAATGCAACAAGTAATATGTGACTGTAGTTTGGGTCATTTTATAATTGGACGAAGTCGGGGTGGTTAGTTGTATAATAATAAATACAAAAATATCTGTCTTCCATTCAATAAAGATTTACGAATGTACAAAATGATAATTATAAAAGAATTTTATATGTATATAACTTATTTACAAGTATATTAATATCAACCCAACTTCAACAGCGAACGTCGAACTTTTCCGAAAGAATGCTGTGGTATCGCGAAGGTAATTCCTTGGTAAAATTATTAATGCAAAAGTGAGTTTATTTGTTTTATATCAACACGTATTTAGAAAAATATTCAATGTATTGAATGTAGCCTACCACTAATCGGTTTATAAATATCTATGTAAAAAACTGATTATTTAAAAACTAGCGACTCGCGCTCGCTTCGCTCGGGTTCGTCTCTTGGTACGTTTTAATTGTTAGTATGGAATATATAGACTATATACTATATGATATATAGCCTAACAAACAAACAAAGTCTGCCTGTATATAATGAGTCGCTAGTATTACTATATAAGTATAGATACATAAGTTAGTCTTCTATAAAGTGTATTTAATAGGTATAGGTAAAATAATCACAAAAAAACTTTTAAAAGAAAAAAGATGATCTTTCCCACGCTCCCTTGGAAAGGTTCCTAAGATTTACCCGATTCATTAAAAAAATATAAGAATTGATTGTTGATATCGAGAATATATCCACAAAAAGGTTTTTTTTTCTTTTAGTCCAGTCATTCGTTAGATTTACCGGAAAAGTTTCCGGGAGTTTTGTAAATTGATTATTTTAGAGATTTCGGTGTGCTCTTTCTGAATTTCAATTTTGCCACCTCGTATCTTTACCACTCGCGCCGCTATATTAAAAAAATGGCGTCTAATAGTAGTTTTTTGACAATATCTCCTTTCCGACCCATTTTACGATAAAAACTTTTAAATAAAAAATTAAACTAGAGAAAGTTCCTTAAAATTTATGTAATAACATTTAAAAAAATCAATAGTTTTGACGAACGAGCGCCGCAAAGTATACCTCAACATGCGTTTTGGCTAAAATCTCATATCCACATCACTTTGAGGTAGAGTAAGTGGCGCGTTTTTTTATCATGGTATCTCATCCCAGTAGGCCTAATCTACATGCAATGCACTATTACAATATTTAGCGCATTTTCCTTCCGTGACCTCTTTTTTGAGCATCAAATGATTGGGTTATTTGTCTTCTGAAGAGAATTATAGTTTTATCTATACTAATATATAAAACCGAAGAGTTTGTTCTTTGTTTATCTGAACGCGCTAATCTCAAAAACTAAGCTCTAGAAACTAGAATAATTTAAAGGTTCTAGACGAAGTCAGGTTGTGTAATTAGTCTTTATATAAAAGTCGAATTTCTAACTTTGAGAAGAGAATTCACTGACATCGCGCGTATAAGAGTTTTTAATTACTCCCAAGTTTCTTCGATTTGTTCAGACAGGTAAGGTTCGTGTTTGGAAACTGAGAGCTGCTACTAATTTAGTATGAAAGTGCACGATGCAAATTTCCTTTGAAATTAAATACATACGTCATGAAATAGTTAGCATTGCTAAATATAAATTACTAGCATTTTCCGCGGCTCCGCCCGCTTTCTGATGACCAAAAACCAAATTTCTAATTTTTACATATTAGTAGCTTACATTGCAGTTTTTGTATTTTTTCTCAGAAAGAAGATGTTTTCCCGCGGTAAAAAATATCCTATATGTTAACCAGGATAACCAGCCATCACTATACCAAATTTTATCAAAATCCCTCTAGTGGTTTTTCTGTGATACGGTAACAGACAGACAGACAGACAGACAGACAGACAGACAGACAGACAGACAAAAATTCTAAAAACTATAGATTCGGCCTCTGTATCGATAATAATTGTTTATTTCCATAAGATTTTCCAAAAAATATTTAATGTACAGATTCGGCTTAGTTACAATTTTATTATATGTACAGATAATAATTACATTTCTGACTTGTATTTCGTAAATATTTACGTTACTGTTCAAAACTATTCCAGATGTATAGATAAAAAATTTCATTGAAGTCGATGGAAAAACAGAAGCTTAATATAAAATGTAAAATAAAACTAAATCTATTTTAATTTAATTGAACGTAAATGCAAAATCGAACCTAACAAGTAGTGTAGTGATATATAAATGTTTAAGCCTATTTATTTATTCTTTAGCATACGTTGTTTAAATTATAGTTATTAGTCTTAATCTTTTTGCTCTATCTCCCACGTCCATGGTTTGATTAGAATCCACGTGTAGCTTTACCAAAGTAATTTTGTAGTATGAATGTTTTTCTATAATTAAGTGTGAAAAAAATTATATAAATTATATTAAACTCATATTTTTCCTATTAAATATATGTCTTGTTAGAAAAAACTATATTAAAATCTTGTACGAACTGAAAACCATTGTAACCGATAACTGAAAATGAAAGCTTACGAATTAGTGACATTTAAAAAAGCTCTAATCCAAGCAACAAGTACTGAAAGCGTCCCCCGCTTCACGGCTTCAGTACCGTCGCGACCATGGCTACGGACGGACGTACGAAACGCTCGCAATCGATATGTGCGCCGGCTTCTGCGAGTATGGAGGCATTGGCCGCTCCTATAGAAACTACGCCGGCTCCTCGTAGGAGGCCGGCTACGAGGTCTCAATCTGCCAGAATAACTGGTGGCAGATCAGTTAGGCACAGGCGTCAGCAGCAACAGTTGGATCGTGAAACTCGGGCTCGGTACAGCTCTGAGCCACGGCTGGCTGATGCGGAGACACCTCCTCAGGTCAGAAGACAGGCATCAGCTCGACGGAGACCCCCAGCGGGCCAACACACCCAGCCACGACGCTCCAACGCCTTCCTCGACGTACCCAGGCCTCCCCAACCAGAAGAAGAACCAGACGAGGATTCCTACAGACTACGAACGTTCAACATCACGCAAAAAGGAGGTCAGTGCTACGTTCATTCACCTTTACTACTATATTTAAAGTGAGTTTTTCGTATCGAACAGGCAAAACTTGGCATTCGTCCGGCTCACATTTAATGTAAGCTGCTTCAGAAATTGAAAGAGCACCAAGCTTTTCCATTCCTGCTAAAACCGATCGTTAAAAGTCATATGCTGTCGTGAATCACGCTTTACGAGGCCACTATAAATCAAAAGATACATACGTGTTTACTTTTGAGGTAAAAATAAACTCGTATATTGAAGACGTAAAAGTTTCTGATGAGTATAAGAATTAGAAAGCGTATATGATGAGTGCTTTTTGGGCTAACTAATGAAAATAAGTGTAATGGATAATACACGTGTTATTACGTGGATATTTGACATTTAATTTAGATTTATATTTAATTTAGATACCATAAAATTTATATACCGTTTAATTTTAATTATAAACAAAGAAAAACAGTGATAAAAATATAAAAAAAAACCCGACCATCTTGGACCGATTTTCATCAAACATAGCTAAGAACACTCTCGACTAATTCAACTTTCAAACAAAAAAAAACAAAATCAAAATCGGTTCATCCGTTCGGGAGCTACGATGCCACACACAGACACACACACACACACACAGGCATGTCAAACTTATGACACCTCGTCGTTTTTGCGTCGGGGGTTAAAAACATGAACAAAGAAAAACATGACAAAAAAACCTTTTCACTAACTTCAATTGAAAAGAATGAAAAATATAATTTGTGTCGTAATAATTACAATAATTATTACAATTAGTACAGAATAGACAATACTTAATGCACAAGGAAATTAAATACGGCGAAAGTTCGTCTAGTGGTCGAAATTCGACCATAATCATTATTGAAAATTTGAGGAAAATATAATATGTATAGAATTTATCAAAATAAAAAAAACTACCTCTTTTCAAATCTTTAACACTAAAGCTAATATAATACTAAATAAAAAAAATCGTTTGACAAACAGAGGAGAAAAAGGTACTGAACAGTTTTGTCTTTGCCTGTTTATATACTTATCTATTTAAACATATAATAAAATTATTATGAATCGAATCTGTACATAAAATATTTTTTGTAAAATCTTATTGAAATAGTCATTATTATCGATACGGAGTATGAATATATAGTTCTTAAAATGATTGTCTATCTATTTGTCGCCTGGGATCATATTACGAGAAAACCACTGGACAGATTTTGATAAATTTTGGTATGATGATAGCTTGTTATCCGGGTATAGGCTTTTACTGCGGGAAAACATCTCATCTCTAAGAAATCTATTGATACTAAACGTTCAAACGTAACAAGGGACGAACCCAAACGAACCGAGGGTGAGTCGCAAGTTAAAAATAATAAGGGTGTGCCGTGTGAATTATAGAGTTCATATCATATGAGTCAATGGTAGCACTATCTAAAGTAACTTGCTAACACTTTACGTGATGTTTCAGGCCTATTTAGGTTTGATATTTGATATGTAATAAAATTTACGAGAACTTTTGGTTTCTAGTGAGAAATGTACCCACATTTAATTCAACTCAAACGTCACTTTGTGATTAAGTATCCTATTAATCGTCACGATAAAATGGTTCTGACTGCGTAATCAATGACAGCTTTTATGTCTTCCACACAAAAAAATATTAGATTAGTTTCGAAAAAAGTAAATATAAATCTTCTATCTATACATATAATAAAATTGTAACTAAGCCGAATCTGTACATTAGATATTTTTTTGGAAAATCTTATTGAAATAAGCATTATTATCGATACAGAGGCCGGATCTATAGTTTTTAGAAATTTTGTCTGTCTGTCTGTTATCGCATCACAGAAAAACCACTAGAGGGATTTTAATGAAATTTGGTATGGTGATAGCTGGTTATCCGGGTCAACATATAGAACTTTTTACCGCGGTAAAATATCTCATTTTTGAGAAAAAATACAAAAACTGCAATGTAAGAGTATACTAATATGTAAAACCTAAGAATTTGAACTTGTTCATCGGAACGCGGGCAGAGCTGCGGGCAATGCTAGTAATGGGATAAAATTACCGCATCACGACGTTGGTCCGGGATGAACTCCGACACTACTTATCCGATATTAGCGTATTTTTTTCATAATGTATGATTTGTTCCAAATTAAAAGATAGGATACTTTTTAACCCGATTATTTCCTTTTTATTATAAAATTAACGATTTTCATTATATATAATTGAACGAGTACACAAAATAACGACAGTTGTAAAGAAACAAAAAATTTATTTAGAAAGAAACTTTCCTAACAAACTTTTAATGTATCTTAATAGAAAAGTTTCTATCAATTTCCATATATACCTATTTTAAGTTTAAGTGAAAAAATCACTTTTACTCTCATTTCAATAGACTTAATATTAACTTCTTTGGGAACTTTATGTAAGAGGAAAAAAATTAAATAGTTATTTATAAAACTCTCTCGCCTATCACTATATCTATATATAGACTTTTAAGTATAATAATTACTTATAAAAAAAAGAAAGAAAAGTCATAATTGAAAAAAATAAGATATTTTATACGATACACGACATATAACAACACTATTCAGCAGAACGAAAATAAAACCCTACAGCTACAACCGATTCAAGTACTCCTTTTTTTGAAATTGGTTAAACATTATGTGGATCGATAGTAAAATTAACAAACGTTTTCCCATAGCTCTGCTCTTAGTGGTCGTAGCGTAATAAAACTTCTCAATAGGCAATGAAATACAAGAACAATTTTCAAATCGGCACGCTATTTCCAGAAATTAGTGCATTCAAACAAACTAAAAATATTATTTAGTTTCTATTTTTGCCTAAAATTAGAACAGTTAAACTAAAAGAAAAAATAGTTGGTATAGATTTTAAATGGCTGTAGATTTTACTTTAGGTTCAGTTCAAAAAGAAAACGCTTTAATCCTTGAAGAAAATTGCGATATAAAGTTAGCGGGACTGTTGATCATTTTTTATTTCTTTGTTATAAATCTATAAAACAGTAATTATTTAACAACTACCATTGCCCGTGGCTCCGCCCTCGTTCAGATGACCAATAAACAAATTCTTAGGTTTTATATACTATTATAATGCATTTTTAGTATTTTTTCTCTAAAATGAGATATTTTCCCGTGGTAAAAAGTATCCTATATGTTGACACGGATAACCAGCTATCACCATACCTCAAAATCCCTCCAGTTTCAATAAGATTTTCCAAAAAATATTTAATGTACAGATTCGGCTTAGTTACAATTTTATTATACGTATAGATGATGATAAATCCTATTAATAATATTTTTGTCGTCATGGTTACGGGTCAGTAGGTACACCCGCGACTATTGCGCTTGAAAAATTGCCGAAACTCTAAAATTTAAGTAAAAAACATGGTAAATATCTCGTTTTACTTTACAAACATATTATTAGTGACCATAAAAGCTTAACGACATCCTATTGATACCCCATCACATCATTCTGAAGGTGATATACATACAAATTATTATATGGACAGAAACATTATAATTTTTATAGATAGAGTCTACTATACTTTCTTCAGAAAAGACATGCGACTTTTGATAGATAAAAGTAATTCTTGTATTCCATAATTAACTCCAAAGCCTATTATTTTGAAAATTTCTATTGATTAACTCTAAAACTGTTTTCAACACTCACTAAACTCTAAGTCAACGTATAGGATACTTTTTACTGCGGGAAAATATCTAATTTCTGAGAAAAAATACAAAAATTGGTTAGAATGAAACCACGATGATACTATAAATATCTTAGCAAGACAACTTACTAAATAAGGCAAAAGTATGAAAAATAGCTTATCTTGAAAAAAATAATAATAGCGCTATTTTATTTGGTTTTTGGTCATCAGAAAGCGGGTGGAGCCGCGGGCAATGCTAGTAATGAAATAAAATTTATTCAGTTAGACTTATTACAAGAACTTTTGAACCGTAAATTAAATTTAAGCGTCAGCGCTACCAACGGCTCGGAAAACATTCTGCTGAAAATAACCGACGAAAAACTCAACAGTTGTTCTTTTAAATATCGAATTTACATTTATTTTATTAACATCACAATATAGATATGTCGCATATGAGTCAATATTTCTCAATTTCACACATTTCCATCAACAAAAAACTCTTGAATGTAATATGTTTTGCTGAATAAAATATTTTTAATTTTAACTTTTTTTTTTAAAGAAACTTCGTTCTTTGAAGATTTTTCCAAGAAGGTTTAATTGTACAAAAATATATATCATAGTTTTTACTATAAGTTGAATGATGAAATGACAGTTATCTTCAAAATTGTTGAAAAATTGTTTGTTTAACGAAACCTTTTTTTTTAATGTATTTACTTAATAAGGCATCTTTATTTTAACATAAAGCTTAATTATAAAGCGTGTATATTAAAAAATAATAATAAAATATCTTCTATTTTCAATGGTATAATTTAAATATAAAAATATACCTAAGACAAACTTAGCTAACAGTAAAAGAGGAAAATTGAGTAAGTTATCTTTCAAAATTTGAATAATATAATATGAATGTAAATTTGACGAATCCCTTTTAAATGATAGATTTTTTTATTCATTATCAGATAGAAGGTTTTAAGACTTAATAAAATATTAGCCCTCGCTTTACATCTCAAATATTATGTCACTTTCTAGCCTTAAAGGTTATTCAATAATTCAATCTTATAAAATTAAAAATCTCGTTATACAAAATTATTATATATAATATGTATATTTATATCACTTTTACTTCTAAAGGAAGTCGAAATGATTTTTTATAATAATGTTGCCACTACATATTTTCGCTTTATAAACTTCATAATAAAACCTCTAAATAAAAAATATATATATATATAATATATTCTATATATATATATATATGCTAACTTCTCACAAAATTTCTTGTGTATATTCTATATATTTACTTGTATTGTATTTCAGTAATATAAGTATTTTTTGTCACATCGCGTGGTAATAGCAGGGAAGGGCGAAATGATTGCTGTTT